CGTCAATTAATAATTTTCAATCTTACTCTAACAACACTGTTTAAATTCTTCCTTCAAATAAAATTATGCAGATTTATACCATAATTTTTTATTCTGATTTATTATCAATTGCAAAAATAACAATTAGTAATAAATAATATATAAAATACGGAATGTTGAATCAATAGTGTTAGAAACGAAAAAAAAAAGTAAAAAGAATAAAAAAACGAGATTACATTAGGAAATAACATTAACCGGAGCGAACCGGTTATGCTTAATACGTTTTCATGTTTTTGCCGACTAAATTTTTGTTTGTACCAATCTTGTTATAACATCCATAATATCTATCAAAGATCACATTGCTGGAAATTCCAAAGCGTTTGATATTTTGCAGCTTGATTTGTAGATTTCTGATTTATTTCACGGCGTCTCTGTACATCATCCTGTACTTGGAATATCGGCAATCTTTCAAATATTTATCGTTAAGCATTTGATTGAATGGTTTTAAAGCGAATTCTTAATTCAGCATCGCGATCAAAAGTTTTTTCCATTCAGCGGTGCAATCACTCTGGAAAGAGAAAATGCAAGTATTCTCGTTTTACTATTTACAAAACAAACGACAAATTTCTGGTAACACGTGCAAATTTATCACGAAGAATTATCTATATCACACAGTTATACATATTAACATTGATGTTAGAGACAGATGGCCATGTTACAATTTGAAAATAAAATTAATGTAAGTGCATGTTCCTTTCCATAGTTTTCTTTAATTCAAAAGAGCGATCAAAAGCCGCTTAAAATCTTCGCCGCAGTCACTCTGTAAATGCAAACAGAATTCCGAATAAATTAAAGCAATGTTAACGCAACGTTTCTCCTAACATAATATTTTATCAATGTTCATATATGTATACATAGGAGAATACGCGAATGCATGCGGATTACAAAAGCATTTTTCCATTAGTAAAATTAGTTGACTGATTTGTAAATAGTATTAATTATCCAGCTGTAATACACAACTTCTTAACAACGAAAACATAGTAAGCGTTAATATAACTGATTTAATTGGAAAGTAAAGTAATTTATTTTGATGTAAATGATGAAATTCACACGAAAAAAAGGGAACACGCAATCTCGTACCCGTACCTAATTACAAGTATAGCTATTTAAAAAAAATAAAAAGGAACAAGAAAAAAAGATATCAGCGTTTCTAAAATTGCCAAAAATTTCGCACAAAATAATAATCTCCGATATTAAAGTATGATTTAAAACACAGGAAATTGTTGAACATTAAACGTATTCATCCAAGTATGGTAAGCAAGAGTCTCTTGTAGTCTCCTGAACAGTCGTCCTGAAATTTATCGAAAATTATAGGGAGGAAAGTAGACGTTAAAAAAAATAATGTGATTAGATACGAAGAATTACGATGAGTAATAGCGCGTATAATCAATTTCCATGAACGTAAAATCAGTATGAATGCTTCTGTAAATAAATGATAACGACATTTTATTTTGATTATCATACGTAGGTATAATTTATTACCTCAAATATCCACCTTTTAGAATCTATAGTCTACCTGCATTATGATTACTCAATCGACAAAATGACAGCACAGAAACATTCTTACAGATTTATAAGATCGTAAAAGTATATGTAACTTACGTCGATATCTCCTGCGAGCGACTGTCCATACATGGTTTGATACATGTCTTTGATATCACCTAAATCTATTTCAGATCGTGTTATAATTATGCGGATCAGGGTCGAATCATCAGTACCAAGACCACGCATTGCTTTGTACAATCTTTCAGCAAAATAAGCTGTTTTGTTTCGGGCACATTTTACTAAAACAGACACGGAATCATAGATTAGCGTCACTCTTATCATTCTTTGAAATGAAAGAAACTTATGTCTTCTTCAAACAATGTTAATCACAATGCAATGCTATGATATTATTTCTTACCAACTGCGAGATACCCATCTTCCAGAGATCCTGAAAATTCTCCCTTAATAGTATCTTCTAAACAGTTACCAGAAAGACGTTCATATTCCTGAAAAATCTTTCGCAATTGTGGATAACTTTTGGTAATAAGAATAGCATTAAATGTGCTTTCATCTGTTCCCCATTGACCTTCACCAGCTTCCAGCAATCGTTTCGCGTCCTCGATTGCGGCTTCTTCGTCGACCTCAGGGTGTTCGCTTCTACTAGCCTGTTCATAAAAGATTAAAAAGTAAATTTCCTGTATACACGGATTTTCAACACGGATAATAAATATGCGAGTGATAAAGTATTGTTACAGATTTTAGGCAATAAGGTTATCTTACACAAGACAGAGAAACCAAAAGTCTTTTGAAGTGTCCAGACGTATCGCTTTTCAAGTCCTCTTCTAACTCTGTACCGTATTCTGCAAAAATTTTTTTTTTTTTTTAGTCTACAGTATAACAATCGCGTATCGTTTGCATTTGATTTAAATAGTATATAGGGTGTTTCATAACTTTTGTAACACCCGGAAATGAGGGGTTGCTGGGGTGATTCTGAACAACTTTTTCCTTTAACAAAATCTTGGTTGAAGCTTTGTTTTTGAATTATTAACGAAAAATACTGGCCAATGAGAGCGCATGCTCAACCACGAGAGCGTTGGCTCTCAACCGCGCTCGATCGTGGTCGTGAACAAACGCATTGGCACAGCGTGAGTATCAAGGGAAGCGTACGATAAATGTTACATTGTCTTAAATTAAGAACAATGTGGAATTAGTATGTGTATACTAATAATAGTACACTAGTAATGTACTAATAAAAAATACTAAATTTAAAAAAAAACACACCCGTATACATAGATGTGTACTTACTATCCTTGTAAACAGCAGATATAGTCTTAATGCCATAATTACTAAGCGACGCTAACACCTCGATTAGAGCACCTTCGTCCGTGCCCATTCCGGAAATTGCCTCATGGAGTTCCTTGGCGTAATACTCTGGCAATGGTGTCATTAATGCCAAAATAGCCTTTTCGAAATTACCACCCAGTTCTGATTTCAATTCAGATATTAAATCCTTGCCGTACATCGTTTTGAATTTATCGGCTATTTCAATCCGTTGTACGATACCGCGATGGGCAAGGACATCGATGATGGTTTGTTCATCGGTGCCGAAACCCTTCATGGCGGTTCGAAGAAGAGCTGCGTCTTCCTCGGCATTGAAGGGGTCGGCAGGGTATACCGTTGGTGTGCACTGAAACGATGAAATTCATTAAAATAACATTGTCACGAAACAACAAACACGGAGAGAACATGAAATTGACACACCCCGGGGGTGTGCCAATTACTATACACAATTTTAATTACATACCTGCACATGATAATATTGACTGGCCGACATTGTCCAATTCAACTGCAAAATATTAATTTCTATGAAATGATATATAATTACAATGTTACAATACTTTACAAGGACATGACTGAATCGAAGATCGAATGTGATATCTATAGCTATACGTTGTGAGAGTCTCGATGAAATAGGTGGATAAAATTTCTTAGAGATATTAATACAAACGCTACATCATCTTTAGAATAAATCTATTAAAAGTTCTTTGCACCAGATGTTAGTTGAAAAAATGATCTCCATCTGCATTTGAAACATAAAAATTCATAGAACGATATGAGTCATCCGTAACTGTCAGATTGTAATTACATTCACGCGCAGCTATGAATCTGCCACTTATTTTATTTGCTTCGCACAGAACTATATGAATGTAAATGCGATATATATATATATGAGTACATATAATATTATTCTATTACTATATTCTCTTAAAAATAACAATGATGGTGATCGAAGAAAGGAATAGCAATAGTGACAGTGATATATGTACTGGTCATCGATTTGAAAATACTCCCAATACAATTCAAGGTAATCGTTAAATGAGTTCAACAAAGATACCTATGGGATCAAAACAAACTTCAACACAATTAAAATTTACATATTTATAAACTTATACAAAAATTCCATGAATTACAAACCAAACAAAAAACTCCGACTATACTCGTGAAAGACAAGATCGTTCAGTTTTTAAAAATAAATTTAGAAGATTAATAAAAATGATTTGTATCGCGATACATCTCCGTATGAAGTGATTTATTTCCGCGCCACTATGGCGGTTAAACAAGCAATTAATTTCACCGCCTAATATCCTAATACAAACAGCATTCGTCGAGACCATTCATTTTGTTTCCACTCACACGTACAAACTCGCGTCAGGCAAAAAGATACCAATACTATCGTGATAAGAGGTCGAAGATCGTAGCTATTGATCGGTAATAATAAAAGAGCAAGCGTTCAGGGTGTGGCTCTTACCTAATGTTACTCAGCGATGGTTGTGAGATCGTTGTAGCGTATCCTACGTCGGTGTACCGGTTCCGCACGGTTCTGGCAACCAACTGAAGACTGAAGCAAACCGTTCCTCGTCACAGATATTCCACGTTGGAATAGTGGGAGCTACGAACGGGAGAATGTACGCGGATGATCTAAAGATCGAGGTTAAGCAACGTGGATAATAATTGCATGATTCACGCGAAAATTCGACGAATTTCATAGACTCATAATTCCATAACTTATTTCAATATTGCTGGTTCAAGGCAACTTTACGCGTTAAAATTTATCTTCTAACTTTACAGTACAAATATTGTTTACATATACATAGTACAGAAGAGAAGGAAAGTCAATTCCTTTCCCTAATTAAGCAATTCAAACACATTTCATTTCCTAATTTCAATTTCAATTCTATTTCTCATAGTTTCTCTACACTTTGTAGGGTACCCTTTTCGCAGGTACGCTATGGTAAAGTACCTGTTTCGTTAAACGAAAGAATTCTCTCTTCGTATTCATTCTTGAACACTGTAATCGCTATTTATAAATACCACGCATGATATGCTTTACTGCTAAAGCCAGTACATAATGTTATCGACGTTAATTACGTATCCACATCCTCACAGATATGTGCATACAAGTTCAACGATATTGTTTCAGCATACTAAAATATCGTTTGAACACACAACTTTGGTGTGCGTCACTATTAGCTGGCAGGAAAGTAGGGAATTATAAGCGACATAACAACTACGTGTGCTGCGTAAGCTGGCTAGTCGACCGATGAACGTGTCGACGTATGTAACCGGTGACGTGAAAAATAAAGTATGTTGGAGTGGAATAAGAAGATTATTAGTAATGACTAGTGTTCGTTAAACTCCCATAAAAAAGAACACCAAGAAACGAGGAGGAAATAACGAATAAATTAAACATACCGATTTCAGCGTGGTACAGTTATCGGTAACGAACTTGCCTTGCATGAAAGCTCTGAAGCGAATGCCCAAAGGTAAGGTCTAAGGATAGTGTCTAAAGGTTTCTAACGGATTACCCTAACGGGACCTGACCAAATTCGCCTCCCCGAATGCTGTCCGATTCGCTTTTGTTTCACGTGTAAAAGTGCAGCAAACAAAACGGATACGCATTAGACAGGATGCAAGCCTGACGAGACGAAGATAGAAAGTGTTTGTAAATCAGCCGTTTGGTCATCGCACGCTTTCGATGACGCTGGCATGGCGCTCAAGACCGCATTACAGCGATCCGTTTTAAGGTTTCTTAAGTAGAGTTCATTGACATTCTATGAATTATTTCAGCGTTCCTGATCTAGCATCTTAGACTCTTCTTTCTCGAGTCAGATTTTATATTCCGCCATGTTCTAGCGGTTTTACAATCGTATTTGAATCCAATCGGCGCAGATTAAGCAGCGTCCGGTGCGGTACGTATCAAGAACGTAAATGCATTTAACGTGCAACGGCATTGCATTGCATTGTCAGAAACAGGCGATAGATTGGTCAAGGAAATTGGAAAGTTTACACAGTTTTTAAACGGAAATCATATTATCAGCCTAACCAAGTTTGCGGAACGCTACCAATCTAGAGGCCAATTTTTTTTCTAACAAATAGGTAACTACAGCGTGATTGTTCATTGTTAATAATGCTCTTTTTAAATATATTTTTAACTTTTTAACAATCTGCGAATGTCTTAGTTTTTTCGATAAGTCAGGGTTTCTGTATATTAAATTGTATAATTTTAATGAGTGTTTGTTGCTCTAAACAAAATTTCGCACCATATTTGCCGTATACACAATAACGGGTACAGCATTAAATAAGTTCACCGGTGTATAAATAGGTTCTATTTTGGAATTCAACCTCTTCCCAAGCACATCCGCGTACAGTTAGAGTTTATCTGTCTGTGAAAACGGTTCATTACGCCTACAAACAAAAGAAATTTTCATAATACATTGTACCGCAGACTATCCATTAAATAAAACTTGTTACTTAATAATATTTTACTCGTTGCTTCTTTAACGTAAGCGAATTATAAATAAAGAAATAAACCTGAAAATAAGGTGGCTCTTTAAGTAAAAGCATATGCTTTGAATAATGTTTAAATAACAGCACAGATTTTTGGAAACAAAGTTTCTCGTAACCGCAATCAATGGAACATCAGCCCGCCTGTGCAGTTTGCGGAAAAGAAACGATACATAAATGCAGTGCATGTGGAAATGCTTATTATTGCAGTAAGCAACATCAGAAAGAAGACTGGAAAAGACATGCGCAATCTTGCAGAGCGTTTAAGGTACAATCTTTCCATCTGTATTATTTTCTTTCGTTTATCAGAAATTATACGAATACTAAAACGTGTTCAACAAATGAAGCAATCGAATATTTGAAGATTTATAAATAAATTAAAATTAATTTCGAATAATATTAAAAGTTGGCAGAAAGTCCTACTTTGGGTCGTTATTATGTGGCAGCGAGGAATATCAAAGTAGGAGAAATCGTTCTGAAAGACGATCTGCCTTTGGTAGCAGGCCCCATGCATAATTCTCTACCTGTATGCCTTGGATGCTACACGGAATTGCATGAAAATAATGCGGTTCCCTGTACTAAATGCGGATGGCCCCTGTGTTCAAACTGCAAAGATCACGGAACCGAGTGCGACTTTACCTCTTCCCGCAGAGACGATAAGGTGATTAGTGAAGATTCTTTAGATTATCTGGAAGCGATCACATACCGAATCTGCGATACGGCCATATCCAAGTAATAAGCATTTAATCCTTTTTTAAACCGCTTTTCATACAACTGTGTAAAGGAACAAGTTATCGGAACACGAACTCCATACTAAGGAGAAAAAGAATCTTTTTGATCGTATCGTGATAGGGAATCCGTTGCACTAACACAAACCCAATTATTTCAGGTATCGATTACGGAATTTGGATATCCGCATCCAACTTATCAATGTATAAATGTTATAAGAGCGTTATCACTGAAAAACAATAATGCGGAATCCTACAAAAAATTATTGTCTCTCGAGAGCCATTGCGAGAAAATAAAGAATAGAAAAAATTTTATTTTCGAAGAATCAGAGAATTTGGTACGTTTTATCAAGAGATTTTTCAAAACGGATGATATACCGGACGAAGAAATTATGAAAATTATCGGTGCATTACAGGTACACAGTATTCAATCATTTAATTAATTAATTCTTATTCTAATGTATCGGTTTTTTTTATTGTAGATTAACGGACACGAAGTGCCTCTGACAGATCCACCGTATGTAGCAGTTTACGAATTGGCATCTTTGCTCGAACATAACTGTAAAGCAAATTGCTCGAAAAGTTTCACCGATAGGGGTGGATTAATTATTCATGCCGCCACACCTGTCACAAAAGGTAATCGTATATCGCGTCGAATGATAATAATCGCAATAATAATAACAATAATGATTTACGGCCGCCTCTAAAGTTCTCTGGAAGAAGCGACGTAAGTTACAGTAGTTGCTTGATAATTTCCTGTTCACTCGCATCCCCCTTTCCTAAAAAGGGAGGAGAATTATCGAGCGGCTCCTGTATTAGCCTATATTGTAGGAGATCATATTTCTATATGTTATACGGATCCATTATGGGGTACGGTAAACAGAAGACACCACCTTCTAGAAACTAAATATTTTGAATGCACCTGCGAACGATGCAGCGATCCAACTGAATTTGGAGTTATGTTTGATGCTGTAAAATGCAATGAAACGTAAGTTATAATTATTCGCATACTCCACGATATTGTATACTTGTTACTTAAGGGGATGTACGACGATCATTCTAATCGCTAATTTACTTTTTTTTATATTTTATCTTCTTAATTCGTAGCAATTGCTTAGGATACACGTTACCAAGAACATTTCTTGGTGACAAACAACAAGATTATGCATGTACAACTTGTGCAGCGGTTGTTCCCTGCGAGAAAATCGAAGAAACGTTGGAGAGGATTGGTATACACCTTTCAAAAATCGAGAAAAACAACATCAGTGCATGCGAAAGATTTTTGAATTGTTACAAAAACGTCCTTCATCCAAATCACTTTTATAACATAGATGCAACTATCGCCCTGGCTCAGTTGATCGGTCAACACGATGGATTGCAAGCAGTCGACGAAAATCTGCTTGCTGACAAAGTAGAATTATGCAAAAAACTCGACAATATACTGAAAGTACTGGCGCCTGGTAATTATATACATACCTAACACTGTGTAGCTAACAAAATACAATAAGTAAATTAAATAATTTGTGCCGTTATCGTTGCAGCTGAAAATCGAATTCGAGGATTGATTCTGTTCGAAATGCATGCTGCTCTTGCAGAATTTAGTAGAAGACACACAGAGGATGATACTCTAATATTATTACTGGTAAAATAAAATAATACATTTTATTTGACAAATGCAACTCATTTCAATACGTTAGTACTAAAGTCGAAAATATAAAGTTATGTTATACAGAACGAAATACGTACGATACAAACACATTAATCAGTTTGATAATACTGTAACTGAAATACTTGAAAGATACAAATTCCATTTTAATTAGTATTCCGTCTTCTTTCTGTTTTACAGGAATCAAAGAAATGCTTAATCAGTGCTCATGAATTATTAAGATACGAACCAGAAGTTCTTCCAGAGGGAAAGATAGCTGTTAAAGCAAAGGAAAATTTGCTAAAAATAAATGATATTCTGCAACGATGTAAGATAGCATCTACATACTCTACATGAAATCAGTTGCATTAATTAAAATGTGAATATTCTCAACTCCATTATAACTTGTCATTATACAAGAAAAAATGGAAAGAATATAAGGGTAGAAATAGTTTAGCCATAAAATGAATATCTTAAAAGTTATTATATATACGTCTGTTTCTTTTTTCCTTTTTTGGATAAGTGGTCAGGAAGCAAGAAAGAGGGCGGTTAAAAGTACAAAAAAATCAATGGACACACAATTTTCAATAATTATTTGGTCATTAGAAACCCTTATGTATGAAACGTTCAATTTCATCGTTATCATTTAATCGAGAGTTGAAATTTTTTTTGCAGTAATCACATTCCTTTTTTGCTTTATTACAGGCATTTATTTTTGGTTCATTAACAGATTAAAATACTTATTTATATATTTCATGGAAGATGTTCTTCTTTACCACAAACGGAAACTTGTTACCTAGTGTGTAACAGTAGAAATCTATTACCTACTGTGCAATAGCTAATGAATATTTGTTGCTAAAAATACAAGTGCAATAACAGAACAATAAATTAAATACACCAAATAAGCATATATTGTAGGCGCAATGACTATATTTTTTAAATTATGTGTCCAATAATGTAAGAACAGTGTTGAAAGAAACCTTAACCTCCGAAGTCAAGCTTCCTCGACTGTGTTGACGTATATTTAGTTATATACGTGTAGTATATAGTATGTTCATGCGGTTATTTGTTTCGTGACATTCAAAGCATTTTAATCATTCTGTAATATGGCTAAACATCATCCAGATTTAATCTTTTGTAGGAAACAACCAGGAGTCGGTAAGGATTCAATTTATATTAGGTTAGGTTTTCCTTCCAATTTTAGGTTAGAATTGTTTACACATCATGTTATATTATCGTTATGTGTACTGTAGAATGTTAAAATTAATTGTTTTATGAATTAAACAAATATTAATTTCAGCTATTGGACGATTATGCGAAAAGTGTGACGGTAAATGCGTGATTTGCGATTCCTATGTAAGACCATGTACTTTGGTTAGAATTTGTGACGAATGCAATTACGGGTCTTACCAGGGCCGATGCGTTATCTGCGGTGGTCCTGGAGTTTCCGATGCCTATTACTGCAAAGAATGTACGATTCAGGAAAAGGATGTAAGTATAATAAAAAGAATTGTTTAAAAAGAATGTAGATACTGTAAACACCGAGGTGCAGTTTCAGTTTTTGCACACTTCAAAACTAATAATTATTCATCGCAATTATCAGTTATTACTGTATTAACATAATAATAAAAATCTTGTTACAGAGGGACGGATGTCCGAAGATCGTAAATCTCGGAAGTTCAAAGACGGATCTGTTCTATGAAAGAAAGAAATATGGTTTTAAGAGAAGATAAAATTAGGTTCTGAAAAATTACTTAACTTATATAAGAAATCCTTTCTTACGTTCCAAATAAATAATTATCTTGATACTTATAATTGTTTTGTTACTTCGATGCTTCGAAAAAATAGTACGTTTTTTCGAAAGAAAATTAATTTAATGACGTAAGTAAGACATGCAATGTGCGTGCAATATAATTAAATTTGTAGTAAAATTGCTACACCAGCAAGGATCCATTTGCTAGCCTTCTCTTTTGTTCTCAGGTTAAACGTCCAAACGTAGGTGGGACCTCGAGATCGTGTTTTATACACAGGACACTCGTATATATTTTTAAGATCCTGTTTATCTTGCGTAATCGCTCTAATATACATTACTGGCATTATTGGAAATAAGTCCTTGAACCGAGAGTCCATGATACATCCTGCCTGAACGTCCCACCGCGCACCTTCCATGTACAGTCCATTTATGTACGCACCTTCCCTTGGTGCCGATCTATGAAATTTTTATCAAAAATTATTTTTTGTAGGAAAATTATTCAACAGGACAAGAGAAAAAGATTCAGCTTATCAAGGAATAATGTTATTCTTAATACTTACGTAACTTCTTCTTTATATTTTCTCATTACTTCACAGTGTAAACACATTTTATCTAGTGGCCATTCGTTTCTCCGGGCAGCTTGTTGCATAATTGCAGTCAAAAGTGATTGAGGACTGAAAAAGCCACCTAGCCATATTGATGGAGGTAACTATATGATACAATATAATCTGATTACTGATTTTTATCTTTACTTCAAGCAAATAAAATGAAATAATAATTTACATTAAAATCTGCAGTCCAGTTGGATAACTCGGATATTCTGTTTAACATGTCGGCAAACCAACTGTTTAATCCTAAACTCGAAGGATACGCTCTCTTTGTCCAACTCGGTGGAACGGTATCTATCAGTATATAATTTTGTAGATCCTCCATTTCAGCGTTGATCGTTAATTCTCCCTGTCGTAAAATACAATAATTTTTGGGGCATTGTGTTGTAAATTATAAATAATCAAAGAATTGTCATTACTTTCAAGCCTAATTCCAATTCGTGTAAAGATCTTTTTAATTCGTCGCACAACGAATTCATCCGCTCACATTCTTGCAAAGCAACCGTAATAAACGGTGTGCGATCCTCGACCTAATATTTTAAAGATACATATAGTTTCAATTAGAAAATTACTTAAACGTGTTTACTTTCATGGTGTACAATCATATGACAGAGTTTTCAAAACCTTGTTATAAAGTTCTTGTATATTAAATTCTTCGGGTAATTTATCCAGTAAATCTTCTATAATTCCTTTGAGCTTATCTTCCCTTGTCATTTCACCAGCTGAAGCATCACTTGTGCTCCTTGCCAGTATTTCCAATAACGTTTTGAATAAGTTGTCTGCGGTTTGTGTTAAGAAACCTAATAAAAATAATTTTATTATTTTACGTTACACGATTTTAACAGATAATTTTCTGTAAAAGTTATAATTACCTATTTCTGCGTTAGGGTGAAGTCCGTAGAGAACAGGGCTTTCGGCGGGCAAATAATCATCAACGTATTTGTGATATGCTAAATAATCACTGTTAGGTGGTACCAAAAACTCAGGTGCAATATACAATTCACCTAAAGGGAGTTTATAGTATTTTGTATTTATTCACATCCTGTCGTTTGACATGCTGATGAAAATGAAATCTTTTACCCTCAACTAATTCTTGTTTTAAATATTCTATCAAGTATGTTCTACATAATCTTCTGTCCCAATCATCAGTAATATGGCCTCCGTACATTATTTCTCCAAATAAATAACGAAGATCCTCCCAAGGTACTTTGAGACTGTTTTCTAAATAATTGAATAGCACGGACACGCTGATCGTCAGGTCGCCAAAGTTGAATGGGTACGACTAGTTACAACAAAGAATTAATATTATAATTTACTCAAAAATTCTTGAGTAGATTGATAAGAAAAGTATCTACTCTGTTCCATCCTTGTGCTCCAAATTTCCTACGTTCTGCAACTACAGCGTGATAATAACAAAGTGCAAATAGTATCGCTCTGAATTCAGTTTCCTTGCTGCAGGAATCAAGGGTTTCTTGAGTAAAATTGTCCAATGCTTTGTGAATATTCGCTTGAATGCCCGATGGCGGTTCGTTTGTGATTTTTATAGCAGATTCTAATATACCCTATAATTTAATTAAATAACACAATTTACGTCAAGATCTAGATCCTGTTCGACAGCAACAAATATTTCATTACTTGAGGTATAAGTGATTCGTGGGGATCCGGACTGGGTTCAGCGCTAATGAACAATCGGTAGTTTTCGTGAGGATTTTCAAAAAGTTGCTCCATTTTTTTCTCCAACGTGGGCAACCACCTTTTTACCAAGTGAATATTTTGCAGTATGACCCAGTGACCTTCGTTCGCTGAAATTTCCATCGCTTCTTCGGCTACGGGTTCTTGACCCTGACCCAGCGATACATTATGGAAATTTCTTCCTTCAAAAGTGAAACCCAATTGTTTTCCAAGTTTCTCTACGTCCTAAATTAGTATCGTTTCAATACTGCATTAGTTATCATCGAAACTTTTCAATTGGATTAACCCGTTTACCTTCAAAGGATCGACACCGGGTGACAAGATGAAAAACACAGGCGTGAACGAGCTAGTTTCTTCGAAGGATTTATGGAAAGGAGGAGATCTAGATTCTACAAACTTTGAACCCAATTTCTCTTCTACAAAACACCTGAATAAAAGTATGGAATTTTGGGAATTCTGACTTTTTGTAAACAAATAAGCAAACATTAAGTAAACCAACTTAATTGCGTATGTCATTCGATCTAGCCTGAGGCATCTCATAATGCACAATCTTTGAAAAGCAGTTTTGTTCTTCCAATCTTGAGGAAAACTTTCTCGTTCAGGTGTTTCTGACTCCACGAATTTCTTCCATCTTTTCTCAGCACCCTCTATATCCTTTTCTAAATTTGCAAAATCCTGCATTTGACTTAAATGTTTAATTCCACCCCAACTAACGTTCGATAGGAAGTCTACCGGGCTAGTTAAGTCGGGAACGTAGGGGAATTGCAATAGAAAATCGAGTTCTTCCTGCGATATTTCTTCCGCTTGTATACAAATCTGAAGTGAAGAAATTTATTTCCAAGACGCTCGGCTATTTAAAATGGTCTACGATTAAATTCACCTGAATGGCCATTTCGCAAAGAAACGTTAATTTATCGTTTTCAAACAATCCTCTGCTGGTGTAAATGAAAACCAAGTGGGTGATGCTGTCGATCAGAAACGCGACACGTTTTGGTAGCGTGTCTGCAGCTTCCGCAAATTTGATGGCATTTTGAAACACCACGCTGAAAGCCTTCAAGGAGAATTGGTAGAGCATGTTTATTTTGTTCAGATCGTTTAGAACAAAGTAGAGAAGACTGGCTCTAGACGAGACAGGGCGATAAAGTTCTCGAGCTTCGTCTATCTTTACAGACGTTATTTTAGCTTCAACCACTTTTATCTGTATTTCTGCAGCAGTCTTTTTTGTAGTCTCGAGATTTATCACGAGATCGACGTCGCTTAAAATGTTCGGTCCAGCGGCTGACAATCTTTAAAAGATAAATTGCTGTCAAGTAACTTTTGTTTAAAATATTTCTATGTTCAGCGAAATACGTATATACAGAGAGATACCTGTGTAAAAGATCATCCTCCAGAGTTTTAAGCGTAATTTTAAACGTATTTTGTTGAGTCGTCAACTCGGCTTTCTTACTTTCTAAATCAGGTCTTTCAGCTTTTACAACATCTCCCAAAAGTTGTTCTTCCAAGCCATCTTTAGTCACGGTGAAATTGATAAGGGTCGTTTGAGCTTGTATCTCTGGTTTATAATGAGGATTGCCCAGTTTCGTTTGTAGAATCAATCGGAAACGATGATCGTAATCTACTTCTTTGTCCCAAATTTTGATTGCTCTTTAACATTTATATACATATATTACATTTCTAATCTTTCAATATATTTGTCTAAATATATGATAAATACCTTCCTTTCTTGATTAAGTCCCTTTTAATGACAGGATCTAAAACAGGATCGATCGATTCCATGATATTTTCAATCAATACAGTTTCTCCGTTTGAAATAGAGATTTCAATTTTGTTCAAGTAATTTGGTTGAGTAAGCCTAAGGACTCGTAAGTCTTCCCCGTATCGATTTTTGATCCATTTTATTCCTTGTAATTGTGGATCTATCATCAACGGCCATCTCGATGAGTTCATTAAAATTGTCGCGTTCTCAGAAGACATTCGATCGGTTGGCAAACCTTCGCAAACAATATCAATCGTTAGATAGATTATTCACAAAATCGCATTTATCTTTAACAATGGTTATTCTAGTGATACACCTTCGTTGTTCCATTGTGCGATTTGCGCATCGTCCGACAGTAAACTTAGGATATCCAAACCTTCGGTCCTCGGAATTTTCACGTCCAGATCGTTCAGAAATGGAATCCACTTTTCGTACATTAAATCGGTTCTATACTTTCGGGTGAAGCATCCCATGTATGATAAAAATGCTGTTACAAGAAGTACATCACCGGGTATCGTGACCTTCGAATTCGTCAGCCTAAATATTTCAATTATTTCAGCCGATTGTTTGTAATTAGCGTAACTAGATAGGGGTCAAGGTGGGTCTGGTTCCCCTAAAAATCTGGACTGATCCCTTCCCAAAAATATGGTCCTTCATCGTTCTAAAATTTTAAGATTTCAAAATTCTAAAATTTCTAAGGGACGTGACCCACCCCAAAAATAGGTTCAAATTATGCCAATTGTGTTAATACAGATTCTTTTTACACTGATATAGATTAAACAATTGCAACTAACGTTTCCACTGTCTCGGTCCATCTAATCTTTTCTGACGCTAAACCATTTACTAATCTATTTGCAAGATCGATCGTCAACGCAGTGGCGTCAGCTTCGTCCTGACACTTTTGTTTCTCAGCTAAGGCTGCGTTCATTTTGTCACCCAAGACATCGAGCACTTTTTGCAACTCCTGTCAATAAAAAAAAAAACCTCTTTTTTGACAACAGTATTTTCATTTTGATGTCACTCATAATCTGTTTAACGTGATCAGACGATCATGAAGTTATATAAAAGTTTACCTCTAGCCTTGCTCTTAAAGAGTTCAAGCGATCCATAGCAGCTTTTAGCTCCGCATTAGCTTGGGCAAGTGCAGCTCTTAATGGCTTTACAGCATCGTTAATATAATGAAAGACCATTATATTTTTTACCCAGCTACAGAGTCCTGCTGCTGCTTGCGATTTTGAATAAATAATTTCTGGATCAAATTCTAAAACGATTGAATAAAATTAATTTACCAATTAAATTGTAAGACTGTTACAAATGAAATAACAGTTTATTGTATTCGAACCTTTCTGGTTGATGTAAGGTTGAATTGCTCTAACAATCTCAGCATGAATATTTTCTTTATCATAATTTCGAAGCTGAGAAAGAAAAGTGTCAGTGTGACCCATCATCGCTTTACACGCTTTCCAACTTCTATCCTTTGGAATCTGCCCTTTTGGGGCAAATAAGACCAGAACTGCTTCAACCACCATTGCTACTTGCGCCGGTGGTGTTCCAAACGATTTTAATTCAGTCAAGTTATTCTATAATTTAACAATTAACATTAGGACGATTTAATAAGTAAAATTCAAGAAACTTTTCTTATTTTAAAATGCTTTGCCTTGTTTAAAGTGTCGAGTGCAGCTTCGGCTTGACGAACTGCAGGCTCTGCTCTTGCTAAATCTTCGTCGCAACGTTTCTGTCTTTCTGCCACCCTTTCCTTTATTTCCGCTACTTTTCCTTCCTCTTCCGACACTGCACACAAATATTGTGATTTTTAAATAGTTTTCTATGCAAATAAGTGGTTTCCTAATTTTCTACCAAATGCTTTTTCCCCTTCGGCTTTCGTATTCTCTGCCCGAACTTCGGCAAGGATTTTGTCTGCAATCTCGTTCTTCTTTTTCAGTTCCCCTTCCTGAACCGCTAAGATAACTCTTAATTCGCTTACCTGTTGAAATTGAAATTGATTGCATCAATTAATTAAATTCATACGGATGTTTAATAATTAAGAGATTTATCATGGAAGAATTACTTGTCCAGCACAGCTTTCTAATTTCTCTAAACCATTCTTTAACCTTTCTATCGTTGCTATCACATCGTAGGTTCTTTCCACTAGTAACTTTGAATATAACGCAATTTGTTCCAAAAATGATTTTGGAGTCGTGTAATTGTATCTTTTTTCGCTCTGGAGGTACTGCGAGGAAATGTCGTTGACGCTTGTATGCGCGAACGACATGAACAGAGATGCTGATTCTTTAAGCTGTTTTGGAAGATCCTCTAATTCCTATGATTAATAACATAGGCTAATAAGAAAATATCGATATTATAGAGTCTTTAGATTTCTTACTCCTAAAAATCTGCTAGAAACAGATCGTAAAGCTTCCTGGGGCCAACTTTGAAACCAATTGATCGAAGTGTTGTTAACGATAGCTGGAAATTGTCTGGCTCGATTTCTTAAAGTTGTTCCAACAGGAGAAAAGCAAAGAACACATTTTAGTCGATTTCGAACTCGGTCTATGAAGAATTTCCAACAATTTTCTTTCGTGTCCATCATACCAGTTTGTTTTACCTTTGCAAAGAGAGAAAAAAAAATTAAGAGACGTTTTATTCTTACTATTAAAATAAACAGTTACCTCGTTTCTCACAGCATTTACAATATTATCCACCTCCTCGTCGGCAAATAATTCTGAAATTTCACCAAAGGCAAGCATGTCGTTTATAAGCACCAAGAATCTTTCATCAGCAACGTGAGAATCCGTCATCAGGAAAGTAATTCCGATGCTTTTCAAGCCAGACTTGCTGTATAAACCTGCTAGGTCGGTTCTTAAATCCTCCAAAGAATATCCGGTTTTTAATTGTATTTGAAATACCTGTTAAATGGATTCGTTTATAAATATGAACCTTGTCTATTCCATGCAGTGGAAAAGAAATACCTCTAAACTCGAAATGAAAGATGCGAGAGAAGAAAGAGATTGCTTTCCGCTTCCTCCGACACCCACCAACAATGCATTTCCTCTGGGTGATTCTAAAATTCGGTTTATTTGACAAACGTGGTACATGGCGTCGTCGAATAATACTAAATTCATTGCAGACACCTACTTGAAAATGATTTCATCCTTTTAACAATATTCTTTTGATAAGAGAAGCAATTTTAGTGCTCAACCCTTTCAGCGCTGGATTTTTTAATATTCAGAAAAATAATTTTTTTGGCAGAAAATCTTGTTTGTAACTGCTATAAGAATTTCCTTCGCAAAATTTAAATGAGTTTCCACCATAGACGAAGGAACCAGGACCGAAAGGGTTCAAGCATTCTTAATTTATATCATTACCAGTTCGTTATAATTAACCAAAGCTTCGTCCAGTAATTTATTCAATTGTTGCCAGTCTTTTATAGGCATGTATTTTGATTCACCAATTCCCTCAGCAAAATGGCAATATATGATCGGTTCTGCAAATACAATATTCTCCTCTAGGTCCTGTAATGAATAGTACGAATGTATCTATTCTGACTTTATATTAGGTTTTCTACAGAGTGTCATATAATAGGAAAAGCATATGTTGTTTAATATTATCGACTTCCTGGTCTGCAAATAATTCTGAAATTTCATCAAAGGGAAACATGTCGTTTATAAGAACCAAGAATCTTTCATCAGCAATATAAGAATCAGTCATCAGAAAAGTGATTCCAATATTTTTCAAGCCAGACTTGTTATATAAACCTCCTAGGTTTAGCATTGATGTGCTTTTCAATTCCCATAGAATTACCATACGCTCCCTTATTATATGACATTTTGTGCAATATTTGAAAGATAAAGTACAGGAATATTTTTACGAAGCGATTCCTTTAACAATTGGTCAAATGTTTTTTCGTCTTCCATATTGACTAGTTTATCAGCATACACTCTGGTCGCTTCGTGAACATACAACCTTACCAGTTGATTAGGAGTTAAAACAGTTTCCCCATTGGCAAATAAAATACCCTAAAAAATAATAATTGCTCTTTTTTTAAGACTATTACAACTCTGGGTAGTTACTTACTTGAAAAATATTTGAAAGATCACGTAGATTAAATACATAATGAAATTTGATTGCAGTTGGTAAAAATGTGGTTGAAATTTTTTTGTGGCATTGCAGTGCTGCATTTAACAGTGGCTCTGCAATTTTTGTTAGCGCTAAATTAAATTTATTCAGAGGATTTGTTAAATGTTGATCCAACATTTGGCTGTAGATCATTACTAGATTCTCCTGGGTTGGAAAGCTGACATGAAAAATAGAAAGAAGTATAGTTTATATAAATATTTAATGGGAGTAATTGAACGCGTTACTTACTTAACTGCAAAAACGGCAAAGTGTCTTTGCAAACGAGGATCAATTGTAAAACTCCCTGCTGTGGGATTCATACAGGAAACATACTGAGTGTTGTGAATTTCCTTCAGAGATAATTTTATTCTGTCGTACCTACATTTTTTCCAGTCAATTTAATTATCATTGATTCCAAATACTGATAATAATTCACTTTTATTTTTAATTTAGATTTTCGGGAAAAGATGCGTACCAGTGATTGTAATCCACGTGTTGTCTGATAAGCGTATGAGGCTGAACAGTTCCATAAGTATCTACTTCAGGCATATTCATATCATCAATGAAATAGATCAACTTTTTTAATCCTGGCGGTCCATAGTTCCTGCCAGTTTTCTTCTCCAAGTGTTTCTCCATAATCCTTTGTAACATTTCTTAAATAAACAGCTAATTAATGTAATGCAACGTAGAAAGGATTCTAATACATTTAAATATTTTTGTTACCAGATGTGGTGTAATAATTAAGAGGCACGCCGGCGATATTGTAGTCATCCGGAAGGGAGCCTAATTTTTCAGCAACGATCACGCTTTTCCCTGAACCTGCAGCACCTATCAACATCACCGGTACCTTTTCCTTAATGAAAACATCCAGGAAGAAGTGAAGGCATATCGTTTCACCAGTCGGCACCAAAGCAGACTGTTAAGGTAAATTATTTTTTAAATTTGAACAATTTATCGATATTAATTAAACGAACCTGAAGCGGTATGTCGGTATCCAATTCGAAAGGTTTCACAATATCGGTCCACGAAATTAACTTCTTCGTTTCGTTTTCAATGAAATAATTAAACACATTACCGCCGGCTGGGAATTTCACTGTTTTAAACTCGTTTAGCCACCACTTGTTGAATTCGTTTCGCCAATCGATCAACTGATCTTGAAAAGTCGCCGATCCAAATGCCCAGATACAGGAAAATGCAAAATACAGTTCGTACCATTCTTTGGGGCAATCTGGGGGTACGTTTTCTTTCGTCAAAAAGTAATCCAATAAATTGCACAACATCTCCACGTGACAAATGTCTGGTAAGGGTGTAATTTTTTTAAATTTGTTCTTCATCACTTCCACCAGTGTTGGAACATATTTATCAAAGAGAATGGTTAAATTCGCCCTCTCAGGTCCATCTCTTGTCTCTATCCAACTGATTGCAAATCTAAACTCGTTATGGAATTTATTCGTGTAATTAATTCTCTTATCGAGTTAAATATGGTATTTATATTTATTGGGATAGTTAATGGCTACTTACGGATACCAGCCAATATCTTGTGGATTTATGTAAAGAATTCCTGCTCTGGAAACAGTAGCTGGAGTGGCTGTTCTGGAAATTATTGTTTCACGTTACATCAGTGTGTCAAGTAATGGAATAATCTAATTACCTAAGGTTCGAAATTTCAAATAGAAGTCTCATGTGATCAGTTAAGGCAATTCTTTCATTGCTAGCCAATGTTAGTACTTTGTTGTCGTCCATCACGGTGTTTAATGATTCGATCCACATTGGATCAATGTCACCATCAAAAATAATCCACTTTGGATCGTTTCCTGTCATGTTTGCTTGATCTCTCATTATAACTGAAAATAGCCTGATAAAACATTAGTAGGTTTTAAGAAAACGAAAGGAATGAAAATCACAACTGGATGAAGTAAAAGAAATTCAAACCCGTCCTTCCATTCTCGAGTCGCCGGGTTAATAACTCCAAAAAGTTCATCAGTGGTCACAGCTTTAGGATTCAAATCATTATAATACGGCTTCAATTTTTGGTTAAAATAGGTTCGATTTAGCGTCTTCCAAACTTGAGTTTTCCCTGTTCCAGCGAATCCAACGATGAAAACCGAATGGCGAACATAAAGTAATTCTTCTAATTGAACAATCTAATTGATTTCATTAAAAACACTTCGGTGATTCCAAGAAAAATCAGTTATATTCATTTTTCTTACCTTCAATATAAATCCATCTTCTGGTTGTAATTTCAAATCCACAGCAGAATCTCTAACTGTTTTCTCAAAATCAAAATCCCTTTTTCTAGGTACATCCAAAGCAGGGAACAAATCACCTGATGAAACCAATAACCAAGATCTTAGTCTTCAACTAATATGATATAAAAGACCATCGGTAGCTTGCGAATTTTTATGCAATTATACGCTTCTATAAATTATTTTTCCCCTTCAGATAATTAAAAGTATTATTCTAATACACCTAAACAATGACTCTGAGCAATTTGTTTCATTTTTATAGTCGACATATTTTTTATATAATCTGATGTTATAATTGCATAAATTTCTACAATCAGGAAATAAATGAATCGATACCAATCAGTCCCATAAAAACTGGCACGTCGTCCGTAACGATTTTCGGGATATTAAAATCCCTGAGGGCTCGCATCAGTACTTGTTCCTCTGGTCTTTGAGGATCGTCTCTCTTCAATTTTCCAGCTACCACGAGAACCGATTTGATCGCTCTCAGACCCCAGTCGTAGTGATCCTGTTTCGATAAAAGTTCTCGGCAAAGTTGGTAAAGCGTTATAAACTTCCTTGCTAATAATCTAGCTTCTTGGAAACCTTCCGCTACCAGCATTATCTCGCAAATAAGGTCAAAGTCCGGGACCACCATCGCGCAAGGCCTTCAATGTTATATAAATTATGATCCATCTGGATAAAACAAGGACCCGTACAATTTGACCTACCGAAACAAAGTTTTCAAATTCTCCGGCAACTCGGTTCTTCCGGCGTAACCAGGATTCATAGTTATGAACATTCCAACGGTAGGTACAAGATTAAGTTCCTCGCCAAAGAATAGAAACGTCGGTTTACGGCTCTTCACGCCATCCAATACTGATTTTACTTGTACAGCCACCACTGAAAGTACTTCCACGGATATACGGTTGAATTCGTCAAAGCAGCCCCACGCTCCCACTTGTGCAAGACCCTTGTAAATATTTCCACAGGACTGAAAGGAAACATATTCTCGTCACATTCTTGTCCTACGGGGTTGAATCATTGCCTATCATTTTACCTTATAGTCCATCTGTTCGGAACAGTTGAACACATAAACCATCTGACCCAAGGCTCGGCCTAGATCCTTTGTGGTTTCCGTTTTTCCGGTTCCTGCGGGACCAGCAGGTGCTCCTCCCATTATAAGATGCAAGGATTGCGTTAGAGTAATGTAACATCTGTCGGTCAACGGTGTTATCACCAGTCGAGGAACATTTCCCAAGTATTCGTAATCGTATTTGAAGAAAGCATCACAAATGTCTGCGTAACAATCACCAACTTTGTCGTCCCACCTGTACGTATCGATTCGTTAAAATTGATATAAAAATTCTTTTTGTGATACATGGTTATCTATGAATTTATCGACCTATGTCTGAGTTGCGACTGCCACTGAAAACTGGAAGAATTCTCTGCCTTCATCGCGATCATTTTTGCAACAACGTCCCTAGCGTGCACGTCTATTGTACAAATAGTCATGATCTTCCTTCTATCGCTCTCATCGAGCTCTCCACAAAGTATCGTAATCAGAGCATTCAGTTGATTAATTTGTTTCCTTTGATAATCTTTAAAAGCATTTTCGAAGCCCTCCTCGAGTCTCATGAAAGCCATGTTCACCTCGGTGGTCCACCAAATCTGAGTTCCGCAAAGAGCAGGCTGAGCTTGGTGGTCGAAGATCCATTGCTCTCGTGGCTTCTCGTCGTAAGTGGCTACCGCTTGAGAGACGTGATACCTTACTGATTTCTTCATTGCATCCGTCACGTGATTCAACCAGACTTCTACCTGAAAATCATGCTACGTTTTGAAAACGATCTTTTATGTATGTAAGATGAAAATACCTTTCCACTGCAGTCGCAACTTCCATAAATAGCCATGTGTTCACCATCCTTGGCAATCATTGCAGTGGCGAGTTTCGTTGGTTTCGAACCATCCATTTTCCATACTAACTTCGCTATGGAATCGTACAATTTCGCCAAATGTTTGCAGACTAATTCAGGGTTGTTTCCTTTTAAACAATTTATCGTATAATTATAATTGTTTAATTCTTATAAAACTATATCAAGTTTTCTAACCGTTGCTTAAAATGTCCAGAAGATCAGTCGCAGAGATAAAGTAAAATCTTGGATAAATTAATCTTTTCGTTTCCAAGTAATCCGCCAAAGCTTTTTCGCAGACGTTTAACTGAACTAGCAATTCTTCCAGCTTTTCCAGGAGCTTCGGACGATTCGTTGCTTTAATGATATTTAAATTGCTCGACATTTCTCTCAGAAGTTCCTTAAGAACACGTTAAATTATCTAAGGATTTTTCCTTCGAGTTTTAATATCAGAGAACATTTCAAACTCTACTTTGAAGTCTCTGTCAATTTTTTCGAACCGCTTCGAGTCTTCCGGAAGTTGACTTCTGATATCTTCAGAACCGATGAATATACTCTCGAGATGCATCCAGGCTCGCTGAACTTCGAACCAGGCGTTAATCACTGCGTCTGCGTTGCTTAATTTCTTTTGCCAATCAAGAATCTCTTCGAGAAAATATCCCACGAACTTCGAACCCAACATATTTTGTAGTTGCACCTATTTGGAATGTTGCAAATTAGAAGTGATAATTAAAAGGGAAGAGACAAAGGAATTTTACCTGATTTTCTTCTAGGATTTCTATGGTTTCTTCATCGATCTTAAGAACATTCAATTTAGTACGATCGTGTATCTCTTTGCCAAATTCCAAATTACTCCAAGTATCATGGAGCTCCTTCAACACTTTCTCCATCGCCATTTCTTTGACAGATTTAGCAACAATGTTTTTAACTTCCTCCTCAAATTTGTGCAATTGTAGTTTCAATAAATCTTCCAACGTAGTATTGTCGGTCATGATAAACGCTACCTATTATAAAACATTGTACCACAAATGTTTGAGAACTTTTCAGAACATTCTGAATTAAAAGTTACACGGCTTTCACCGTGGTGTAATGTTTGCAATTAAAATCAAGGTCTAACCGAGACTTGGCCCAGTTAAACGAGATCTAGCTTAGATTTAGCACCGGTTCAAGACTAGTCTCAAGTATCTGATACAATTGTAATTAATGTAACCATTAACAGTCATGCATGGTAATGAACATAATTTAATAACAAATAACCGTTTCCATGCTAAAGTGAAACCGCGAACAACCAAATAGTTAATTACTCGTGTCTCAGCCATTAATTCCCTCCAATGCCTGTCTCTAATTGCTGGGTTCTGCAGTTCTGAGACTGCTCTTAATGACGCCATCATGTTCTTCACTTGGGCCTCGAGGCTGTTGTACAATTCCCATGGACGTACATCTTTGTCCAGTTCTAGAAAATAGCAGTTTATTTTTTTTTTAAATATGTATAATCTAAATGTAGATTCCATAGATGAGGAATAGGGCATCCCTAAAATCAAACAATCTTGAAAGCGAAACTACTAATTATAAATTAATTAAAGCGCAGAAGCAGCACTCTGAAAATCGCTTATCAGATAGTTGGAATAAGAATAATTTTTACGTCTCAGTTCTCTAAGAAGCTTCTTGCATTCCTGATCCATCCAGTCTATGTCCAGTTTCTTCCACGTGGTCTTCTTCCATTCGTTTAAACTGGTTCCAATCACGTTCACGTAATCCCACACAGTTTTCAAATTCTGCATTTCCTTCTTTATCAGTTTGGTCACCTTAAACTCAGGCGTCTCTTGCTCGAAGATCACACTCTGATCGTACAAGGCCTGTTCTTCACTTAGGAACTGAAGAAGCTTCTCGTGTATTTTATTCAGTTCTTCGTAAGGATTCGAGCAATCAGTGCTGAAAATAATTATCAATTACGCATTATATTTCAGATTGAAAAAAAAAAAGAAAGATTATACTACTATTAAATTTACTTGAACACATCCTTGCTATGAAATTCGTCTAAGAATTGTTGTTGCTTAAAGTCGTAATAACTCAGCCTTTTCTTCAGCAGATCGATTTGATGGGTCATTAAAGGCTGAACAATTTGCTTCACTTGAGCAGCTACCTTCTTCAATGATTCCCAAGCGAGGGGTAACTCTTCTAGCCACTCGAAAATCTTGTTATCCAGGAATACTTGATACTGCTGCAGGAGTTCTATCGTTTTCTAAAAACAAATTCAGGCAAATAATAAGAAAGGAAAACATTTTTCTACTTTTAAGTATTTATATGATATTACATTGATAGGATCGAACATATCCTCAATTTCAAACTGACGATCTCTGACTTCTTTCAAATAATAAATTGTCTCCAAAAGCGCTTCGTAATCGTCTTCGTGAATCGGTTTTGAAAAGTTCTCCATCGCAGCTTTTAAGAATTCTGATAAATCTTCCAGTCTAAAATGAAATTACAATTAATCTGTTGGTTTTAGAAACGTCTGTTATACGATGTAAAATCATGCATGATCTTTTGAATATGCTAATACCCAGTTTCCTTGGAATTATTCATATTATTCGCAAAATACGTAATGTTTTTGATAGTTTCCCGGAATGGAGAAGGCTAGATTTAGAGCCAAACGCTACGTCTGCCGTTCAGTTGCGCAAATAAACAGGACTAGTGCCAACAACGATCGTCTCGATTGTAGTTTCAGAGAAATCGGCTCTATTTGCGGTTACAGGGTGAAATGTGACTTGCATCGATAAAGCTTCATCAGACTCTATGCTATTTTTAAGAAGCTCCATTTTTTTTTTATCATTGCTATTCTGTGGGCAACATTTTGTTAGCATTCAAGGTAACAATAGATTGCATAAAAGCTTTCAGATTACACTAAACAAACGACCTTTATATAAATGATACTTCCAAGAATGCATTTTGAATCGTCATAAATTAGTAGCTTTCATGCTTAATTATTCTTCTATCGAATAAATCAAGAACAAAAGCAATTTCTTTGCAAAGTCACCGAATTAAAATTAAACGTCTGGGTATTAGAAGTGACGTACACATTTGGAAAAGCGTCTTGGTGTTCCGCCAGCTATCTGGTACCTAGTCCTAGCATATATGTATGTATTACCGTCTATTTAAATTATCCCAACTTACGTCACGAATCATTGGTCACTCAGTGCGTCAGTTTTCTAAAGAAATTGATGGAACTAACAATAATGCTGGCAGAACGCCTGTACGTTCTCCGAAAACGATAAGCGTGACAGTCGCGTTATTTCATTGTACATTCCATTTGTCTTTATACATTTTTTTTTTTTTTTTTTTCAAGATTGAAAGGTAACGAAAAAAGAAATTTGTGATAACGAAGAGCACAGTAAAATGTTTGGGTAACAATGGGTTAAAATAATGAACTTACTGAGTGGTAATCTTATTGACCAAATGTTCTTTGAGCACATTGGACCACTTGCAAATAGTGTTCAAAAGAGCCTGTTTGAAGGGCTTTAAATCGAGCCTCAGCCATCGGCTAAAGATCTCTTCGTTCGGCATATGATCGCATTGATTGTATAGTTCCACGAAGTAATCGATTTCGCGTTTGAAATCCGCCAGGTCTGGTTTCTTTAGTTTCATATTTTCTGGAAGGTACTCTGGATGGTCCTTGATAGCCTGCCTTACTTCAGGATTTACGTATTGAGAGAATTGTAAGTAGTACGATAAATATTCTTGTCTATCATCCAGCCACAACCAAGAGAAGGACTCGTATTTCTGGAAACAGTTAATTTTAATAAACATGGAAATCAGAAGTAGTGTATACCTATGTGATACCTCGGCGTGCTCCTTCATTTCTGTCAGAGCAAATTTCACTCGATTACAAATTTCTTCAAGCATAAATACGATGCCCTCCTCCTCAGCAACGTCAGTCTGGAAAATGATAAAGGTTTTAAGAAATTCAAAGGTCGGAATCAGTCGTATTTTTCTGATCCTCGTTAATATATTAGAAGTAATCATTTATAAAAAAAATTTATGCAAGATTTTGATAAACAATCTATGACTTAATCCTTTTAAGATTCTGTTTAACTATTTCCAAAGTTTTGAACGATAGTGGATATCTGATAACAGTAGAATAATATACCGAGTAATTTTCTCGTTCTTCAACTAATTGAGGATCAACGCGTGGGATAAGACCACCCATCTTCACCATGTCCAGTAAAAGTGACTCCATAAAGGGGTAAAAACCTTCTGGGTCATTTATATTCACTGATGGTTGGAAACCAATTTCGGGGTTCTAATGGTATATAAAATGATAATTAACTGGACCGAATATTACGTGTACAGTATCGAGCAAAATGGCGATATAGGAGAAGCAGAAATTCTTAAAATCTTAATTTTTATATAGGGAGTTTCTTCCCCTACATCGTCGTTCTCCTCGAAATCAGGTAAAAAAAAGAAACGGCACAGAATTAATTTGTACACTTAATAAATCTATGCTTACCTCTAAGTATAATTGTATTTCAAATAATGGATGTATGTCGCCTTCAGGGTCAGTTTCATCAAGGATGTAACAAATACTATGAGAGTAATAATAAGTTGTACTACAATACTTTACATTATCGAAACTAAATGTAAAAAGTTCCATTATCAACATTAACCTTGTAGATACTGCCTGAATAAGACCTTTGGAAATTAAGTCGTCTACATAAGTAAGATAAGGCTGCCATTTTTCTTGTCTAAGTGCCAAAGTTTCTTCGTCAACTTCTTCCTCCTCAATTTCCTCTTGTCCTTCAGGCGATTCCGCCCCCTCAGCTCCCTCCTCGTCAACCCTAGTTTTATTTTACAATTATCCAAGCACTAATTTAAGAAACTTATACGCCTAAACACTTGATTTTATTTCACTTTTGAGTTTCATCTTCCATTCCTTCTTTAGGCGTCGCCTCGTCTGCTTCTTCTTCCTGCTTCTCTTCGCCCGGCTCTATAAATATTTCGTTAAATAAATATCGAAAACATTTGCCAAAATGTTTCACCGTATGTTAAACCATAACTACCCTCGAATAAGTCTGAATCATCCACGTCGTAAGCGCTATCCGGAAGCAGGTCGAAGAATAATTTGTAATTCTCTTTCAAAATTCGTTCGAGTTCCTGGGTTGTCGCTTCAATTTCTGCGTATCTTTCTTCGAACTTCTCGTCTTTTTCCACGATTCCCAGTAGGTTCTCGTCTCTGGCATCTTTACGATAAAGAACTGGCATCATCGCCCAAGTATACAACCGATCCATGATGGTTTTCAAATTTTCCTGCGCTCGAAACACTCTGGCGTGTAATTTTCGAGTAATTGTTAACAAATTTTCAATGTATTCCGGAACCTCTGCAAAAGCACGCTTTATTGTTTAATATTTAATACAATTCGGGTAAAGTGCAATGTAAAGTTGCCAGATATTTTTACCTTCGGAATTCCAATTATATTTTTCTTGGCCCTCGTCAATTAATGTGTCTAAATTTTCAACTTCTTCTTCGATTAAATTGAATTCAACAGGAGTGCTTTGACTTCGTATTCTGTTGTACCTAAAGGAGATTTCTTTATCTCATTTCGAGATTCGATGCGCCAAAACGTTGAACGAAAATATATTTACCATTCTATTATTAAACCTAGATTATAAGTACTCATGAAAAAGAACTGTGATCTGTTATAAAATTCTGTAGCCACTTCTGGGAGGTCTGGTCTATTCATTATTAACATATAGCGAATTTCTCTTAATACAGTCTTCAGTTCTGAATGAAAATTCAATTCCAATGATCTGTCTTCGTGAACTATCAGAAGGGTCTTCGTTAAATGGGTTTCCAATATATCTGGCAGTGTATCAATCCAGGCGTTGAATATTTCTTCTTCTTTGTCATAAATGATAGTCTTAAAAAGAAATTAAGATAAATTTGATGTTAACTTTTAAAGTAACAAGTTAACTCGTTTATCTTGTTAATTACCATCAGTTGTTCGTATTTCGGTTTGATTTCACTTTCCATCTTCGCGGTAATTAAAGGATGATCAGTGTATTTAATACTACGAATAGGATAACTAGTCCTTTTACGTAGCTTCATTAAAGAACACAATTTTGCAGCGACTGGGGGTAAATATTCATTGACCATCGAAAGTAACGGATTTGTGCTCGATTGAAAGTTTTCATCGAATATGATCTAAAAGATTAAATATATACTATTGCTGAAAACTAGAGGTGTACGAGAAAACAATTTTGTTTATCGATCGTATACCTTTATATCACTAAATTGTTGATCTATTCTTTGGATTAAATCTTCGTAATTGTGCCATAATTGAGCCATGATTATAGGTCTGTTAGCAATTGAGCCAATCATCCAAATAAATTTAAACATCGATTCTAAATCGTGACACTCCGCGAAAGCTTGATCGAAGATACTTGCCAATCGTCGATCGAACTGCTCCACCTTTTTATTAAAACAGAAAATTGAGAGACCGTTTAAAGAGGATGATTTTAAAAGAGTAATTTACTGTGTTTAAGAATTCCTGGAAAATTTCGGAGAATTGTGTTTCTTCCGGTATTAAAACAATGTCGGTCAGTTCTCCAAATTGACTGTACAATTTTTTAAACTCGTCGTAGATGTCAATTGTCATAGAAAGTAACGATTTTCCTTTCAGGCCAGCTATTTCTATTCTTTCTAATTTTAAATAATCCTGTACTATGTCGAACAATAGCTGCAACGACAGTTAAAAAATGTAGCCGAGAGGGAAGGTGGTATAATAAATAATAATAAATAAGAAATGCAAAACTGTAGCAGGTGCAAAATTAATAGAGGTATGCGAGAACATTGAATTGTGCGAAATTCTTTCGCACACCTCTGAAAATTAGTGTAACACCAGACCTCGATGTCTTTGAGTCTCGCTCGAAACAAATGAATCCTTTCCAAAACTAATTTCTCATGAAAGGACCAGGGTACAGGTTCAACCGGTGGTTTAAAATAACCTTCTACTTTATCTTTAAACGCTCGAAACATCTCCTGATAAAGATCTAGAAACGGTATCACTTCCTCTATTTTCGTTTTGTTTTCTTCGATATCACCTTCGAATAAAGTTGAGGGATTTATGTATTTCGATGCCTATATTAAAAATGTTAAATGTTTCAAATGACCACACTTTGCATAATATTTATATTAAATGAAAATTGAATACTTGAGAAATTAACAAGCTCGAAATTTCTCGTAACAGAGTGATTACTCTTTCTATAGAGTAAAACTTTGAGTTAGCCCACATTAAGCACACGCAGTGTATCAATATTTTGAATTTCAATGATAAATCCTTGAATTCAGCGCTAGAGATCTCTTGGAAATTCGTATCTAAGGGCTTCAGGTAAAGGAAGATATCTCTTGTCTCTAATAATGCTAAAAAATAGAATTTACGTTTATTTAATCCATTTCTAAAATTTAATTTATATTCTTCTTGAAATTGTTACATACTTGCGGTTACGTTCTTTATCAAATTCTTAAAGTACTCCGAATAAGGACTCGCCATTTCTTGTAAAAACACGTCCATCCTGACTATTTTTGGATTCTTCAATTGAAGGTAAATTGATTCCATGTTCTTTAATCTCATATTCCAGTAATTCATTTCTAAAAAAAATTGTAAGAAAAACGTAACAATGATGTCAATTTTCCTAATCTTATTGAAATTACCAGCTTCGGGTAATTGGTCCCCGCCCTTGGAAAACTGGGAGAACTCTTCATTAAGGATTTCATTAATTTGCCCAGCCCATTTTGTTACAATTTCTTCTATATTGCTTTTCAATTGAAGCTTGTAAGAATCCGGCTTGGAATCAAATTCTTCCTGCATAATCTCATCGATACCCATGGGCAGAGGTAGCAACATTTGCCCTGTTATTTTTCCTTTTACCTAATATTTTTTATATAAATAACAAGATACTGTTCATTTTCTCTTTACAGGTGTGATATTTAAAATCGAATTCGTACCTGCCATATCAAGCTACGAAGATTGTACACTTGTTTCTTCACATCCTTTCGTACGACTTCCGGCCATCCAACGTGGTTTTTTGGATTAGACAATATAGGTACATATGCCTGCCAAATTACAATAATTATCTCTTAATTATCTACAGTGTTGTATTTGAAAATAATTGAGGTAAAGTCATTGGCGTAAATAGGTAGGAACCAGGATGGGCCTAGCCCTCTCATCATTCTAAAAATTTAAAATTCCAGAATTTCAAAAACTTCGCAATTCCGAAAATTCCGCTACCCTGCAATCCCAAAATTCCGAAATTTCAAAATTACAGAATTATATAGAAGTTGGCCCACGCCAGATAGAAATGCTAGTTACGCCAACGGGTAAAGGTTTCGAACAAACGTCTTCAACAAGCACTGCCAATTCTTCTATAGGGTTTGGCGCCATGTCGCCAGGTATCAACAACTCCCTGACATTAACTTCGGTGACCGTTTGAGCTTTTCTCTTCACGAAGTACGACACCTTCTTCTTGGATTGCGTTATCTCGAGATAGGGCACCAGGAGACCGCTGGGCGTCAGATGCAACACGAGGATCATCTCCGACGGTGTACCGAAGAATTTGTTAATTATCTCCTGAGCGTGAAAGTCGATGAATTTAGGTGTTATTCAAACAAAACAGACAAAAATTCGCCTTTAGAATGCGATTTTTTGCGACCTCTCACTTTAGAATTTGCCCCACTGTTGCTCCGGACATTTTTGAGAAAAAAGTTTCACTAAATGGAGGGTACAGTAATTAATAATACTTGCTCTTTCAATACGCATCTCGTAACACTTTAAAGAGGATAATGAAACGCTTAAACACGCTAGTCGAAAGTATTCTTTTGAATTTTCATTTTTAATTACACCTCATTGAATTATATTTAAAACAACGCCGATAGAGTTATGTAACAGACTTGTTACGTAACGAGATAATTCTGGCAAATTACCCCGGAAAAGCGATCTGGTACGCGAGCATCGAACGTTTATCAACTGGTTCATTTAATTTCAACCACCTGACATTTTCTTGCTGGATCATTTTATATCGCAAGAACATTTGTGACCTTTCCATTTAATTAAACTTTCAATGATTAAAAATTTCAATAAAGATATCGACTGGTTTTCCTAATTGCAGGCAGAGTTACGATCTATAAATCTTGTAATATTTCTCCTCGTTTCCATTTGGATATCGGTACCTTAAAGTCTGCGTTCGACAACATTTTCATCCATTTGTCCGTTTTTACTTTTCGGGAGACCAGAAGGTAATCGTAAATATATTCTAATCGCTTATCTTGCTCTGCTTTCTCCTCTTCTTTCTTCTCAGCCATTTTCTGTACGATTTAGTACAGCTTTGTTTATTAACTTAAATATGACATGTTTGTCATTATCAATCTAACTTTTATTGTACGTTTACATAAAATGGTGACGATAGATCGCAAAGAGATGTTACCACCTTCAAAGGTTTCTATATACATATATCTACATTCATATCTTACAATTAAATACTTTAAAAATATTTTTGGATTTTTGAAATTTCAGAGTTTCAGAAAAATTTTTCAGAAATCTGAAATCTTAATATTTCAGAATGACGAGAAAGTCTCTGGTCCTTTTATACTCATATCAATTTATTCAAATAACGATTCCTTGAAGAATCGTAGTAATCCGGAATAAAATTAGATAATCAGTTTATTCGTGGATTAGGTAACGGAAATCTCGTGCTGTTTAGTAACAAGGAAACCGAGCCTAATCCTTTGTAGATCAGCTGTTACTTAACTAATTACGATGGGAACGTTCGAACGATCACATTTTTTATATCTATTTCAAACACAATTCTGTATATTAGGTGTTCTTCTAATAAATTGCTCAACCCACGTAAGTAGATAACAGAGATGCTAAACAGTTGAATAACTGACAATGAAGTAATCATCGTTCTCGAGCACATTGAGAATGGCGTTAAAATACTTGGCATAGTCAGCATACTAACACTTTTCCCTCTACCGTAACAAGTGTTCGACGTATCTCGATGTTTCTCTTTGTAAACTCATTTACACCTATACGCTAAACTGTCTTCACTTCCTTATAAGTAGAAAACTGTAACAACGTCGTTACAGCGCAATAAAAATGTTTCTTCATAGTTACGATCTTTGTTAACTTCACACAGGGTGAGTCACGGAATTGAATCAAATGATATCTCTTTTCTGAGTGCAAACAAAGAAACAATAATCAAGTCTATCTTTTAATAAAGTCTCATTATAAATAAATGATTAAAGTTATCTCTGAAGCTATCTTTTACAAATACTAATTGATTAAAGAGACTTTGACACGTTGATGGACAACAGTGGTACCCTGTTAGCTTACACGTTATTTAGAATTTGGAACCGACAGGATCAGAGATTAGGAAATTACGTTTTTCGTCCTTATATGAGATTTTCAGTTAAATAAGGGTTCATTCGAAAGAGGAAGGTTTGAGTCATCGTTTGAGTCAGAAATACTTGAATTCTGCAGGTGTATTTTGTCGATTTTTCCTCTACTTTGGACACTCATATTATTAGATATTAATAAAATCTCGTTGAATCATGATCAGAGCGCGCTGCACTGAACCTTCCTCTTTCGAATGAGCCCTAACCCAGCCCGAAATGTTCTCATATAAAAAACGAAAAACGTAATTTCCCGAACCCTTTTTTAGTCCCATTTTTTGCCGGTAATGTCACATCGCTGCGTTACCCGTGTCTACCCCCTTAAGGGAAAGAAAGAAAAAAGGAGCAATCACAAGGTATTCGGACAGTGGAAAGTGTTCCGGGTTAATATTCGTAGCGAAGAGAATTGTTTTGCAACGTTAACTCTCCGAGCAGCTTACGTGCCCATGCCCGTCTCGTAATTAGTTTGACTTTCACCGTGAGGGCCACCATACCGGGCACACTTTCGCTCGTCTTCATTTTACCCGTCTCTCCTTCGTTGTTTGCCTCTGGAATTACGTTACGGTGAAAATACCTGAATGCGTCCAGAGGAATTTAGGCCGATATCAAGGACATTCTCTCGTAACCTCGCCGAATGGTCAATTCGACGATCGGGACGCGACCATTCGTGTCGTCGCTCACCACGACCAAATCTACACGTGAATTTCTTACTAGAGCATCCTCTTACTCAATCTAGGTATCTCTTGGACGTAATCAGTCTCTCTTGTTGCGATATCAAACGCGCGAACCATTCGATAACGATCTCTACGACTTTCTTTCCTTATGAAATGACGCTGATCTTGTAGCCTCGAATTTTCCGTCACGGTCGCACTGGTCGCTCCGCGTGGATTTACGCGAGAAACGACTTTAATCTGAATTTCAATTACCCCTGGATACCGAAATTCCATGTCACGCCGTGTCGCGTCAAGCGTGAAAGATACATTACACCAGCGAAACATTTATTCCGACGCTCTTGTAACGTTTAATCGAAACGCTAATTTATTTCCATTGCGAAGCAACTGATTTAGAATCTACAAATCTACGCATGTTTTACACTGTTCTTATGCCTTAATTTCTACACTAGGCTTAACGTTACCTTTCTTTCTTTTCGTAGATTGCAATCGCATTTGTAATAACTTGATTTTTTTCTTTTTTACAGAACATCTTCGTATGTAAGTCGGTCTGGGTCACGATTGACCACGCTTCGTCAGTCGCAAGTTTTACAAAGATTTATAAAAATTTGTGCTGAAACAGTCAGAAAAATTCAGATACAGAACGATAAAATCTTAACAAACGTGGGACTAATTAATGTGGAAGGAACGATAAATCAGCCGCGATACTTCCGATTCATCTCGGTTGAATGGCGCGAGGTATCCCGGATTCACCGTAACCCGTTCTAAACGAGAAGAAAAGCGGGGATGTTGATCGTAATAAGATCAGGGTTACGTAGCCGCATGAAAGAAGATCGACCGATCGATGATCGAACGAGGGAAGGAAGAGGATCGAGGATGTTCCTTTTCCCCTCTTTCAGCTCGTATAAAAGTCCGAATGTGTCGATCCAGCCGACACAACTGTGAAAGATCGCCGGTGAAAGACGTTCTCCTTGCGACGTCTACCTTTCGGCCTCGTACCCTCTCGATTACCTCGAAATTCGACGATGTTGGTCTACCTGGTGAGTTCTACGAACCCTTCCTCATCGCTGTCATTCCGTATCATTATTCGTTTCCTTGCCACCTGAACGTTTGGTGCCTTTGTTTCTGGGTGGAAATTGTATTTCCTTCGTGAACCCTTATTTCTGAGAGACACCGGTGTTGAATTAATTTTTAATTAAACGATTCTTCAACATGATACAGTCTTCCTCAGGAAGAATGTTGATGTCCCCAGTTTCCACCCTCATCCATAAGCATCCCCGGGGAGAATGTTGGGACATGGTCCCTTTATATTTATTTATTGTTCATATTTCTCAGTTGTATATTAAATTTTATAATACTTATCAATTAATAATTAATTCCTGCTTCTCTTATATCGCCATTTATCCTAGGGAAGTCTGATTTGATCGCGAGTGTACCTATCCGTGTATATAATTATCCGGGTTAAAAATCATCTTGATACGATTGATTTCAATCGATCGAACGGTTCCTGTGAAACTTTCTCCCATAAAAAAAACTGGGAATTTAGGGATCGTATCGAGATACGTGAGAATGGCACGTAACGACATGGAATACAGTGGATACAGTGAAAGTACTCGGTTAAATTTGGGTAATTTCTGACCGGCTCACTTGCAACATGCAATCGAGAATGCATTATTTTTACGGAATCTTTAATAGGGTAACGGGTTCTCGTGACTCGATCTCCGTTTATCAACGCCCCGAAATATCTCACATTTGCTCTCCACGTTTGTAACGCTTATTTCCAATTTTGTAATGCTCACTCATCGTCAGCAAAACTACATTTTACGCTCTGAATCTGCCGAGAGTTTATCTGTAATGCTAAAAGAAATTTATTCCAGAAAATCGTGCCGGTTACTATGTGTTCTTAATCTATATCCGATGAACAGATAACGTAAAATGTAATTTTATATTTTATATGGTTACACAAATTAATTATGTGCATTTTCTTCTTTGTTTTCCATTGAGAATTCATTTTTGAAGTGTCAAAGACAACGAATTAATTTGTACATTTGATAATTCGATTACCATTCTTCATGGCGTTTAGTCCACTGTAGAAGGAGTTCGAAATAAAACGAGATGGTTATTCGAAAGTGACCAAATTGTTTTCACGAAGAAAGTCGATCGCGTATTCCGTGTGCACGCGACCAAGTACACCCATGAGTAATGTCTGCACATGTACTAGAAATGCAACGAACGTGGACTCGCGATCGTTTCGCAACCAATTTTCTACCACGTTAAATCGTTACGCTTACGCAATTGTTCTCCTCTAGTCATGGTACGCGATCAATTTTCAAGAAATTACGCCTCCACCCGTGGTCGATCTTGATGGGACCCTCTAGCCGGTCCGCGCACCTTTCAGGAAGTTTCGCTGCTCAACGACCGTTTTATAATCTTCTTTGACACGGTGATTACTCCTATCATTACTTCCTGTAAAAATCTGTGAAAAAAAGATTGCAATACCGGCTTTAGAGTACTTCGTATCGTGTGGAAGCATAAGTTTTAACGGATTAATTATACAATAACTTGTTGACTTGACTGATGCCACATCATTAGGCGCGTATTAATTTGCTAATTTCTTTATTTCAATCGTTACGAAAGTTTCACATAGAACTTTCATGAAAGTTACAATCAAATTAATTCTTCGATCGACCAATAAATGGATAATTAAAAGTTCCCAGGGGGATTCTGCGGTATACAGAGAAAAAAAAAGGAACACAAAGCGAGGAAATTCGAAACAGGGAAAGTCAGAAGCCGAAAGTAAAAGTAAAAGGAACTGGTTAGTTTTGCAGATCTAATCAGTGGAAATAATTACCGCGACATCTTAATTGCATTGCCTTTGTCCGTACCAGTTGTATTATCCGTCGTTTTCACGGAAAGGAGGATCGCTTTTAAAGAGAAATTAATTCTAATGCAAATCGTGAAAACAAAAGAACAATAAATTTGTGGTAACGAGTATCTGAAATTAATCATCGAAATTTCTTAAAAGTTAACCGACCGTAACTGCTAGAGTTACTCGTTCTCCCTGCTGAATTCATTTCCATTAATTAAACTATGTAAGTACACCTCGTTCTACTAGTGTGAAAAGTGAATTTAAATCTTCGAATTAATTCGAAACAAATCAATTTTTGATATTCAAAAGTCTTCAGACAAATTGATTTAATACCTCACACATTTATATTCAACAGCAATATAATTCATGCAAAACATCGTCTCTACGTATTTGCAAATCTCATTAAATTACTAAGTCGGATGTTTCGTTCGATTATTTAATGTAATGTTCGGTTAAATTTAGACATCGAATTTGTTGGATGTCAAGCGGTGATGTTCCTCTCCCTGTCGGGCGTCAATATTCTCGATAAAATCGATGTAATTAATGACAGTTTAATTGGAAACCGTTTCAGACCACGCTACTGTTAGTAGCCTCTACAACGGTGTACTCGAAACCAGCACCGGAACCGCCAAGCTCGTATTTCCCTCCATCGAGCGGCGCTAGTCTTTCAAGTGGATCCGGTAGCTACGGTCCACCCTCTCTTCCGGATCGTTATGGCCCACCGCAACAACAGCCCGTCGTCCATAAACACGTGTATGTTCACGTGCCGCCTCCAGAAGCGCCGGAATACAAGCCACCGAAATACATACCACCCGCGGCGCCTCCACAAAAACATTACAAAATCGTATTCATAAAGGCACCGACTCCACCGACGCCAACCGCCCCGGCTCTTCCGCCGCTACCACCTCAGGACGAAGAAAAGACGTTGATCTACGTGTTGGTGAAGAAACCAGAAGAAGCACCGGAGCTGGTGCTACCCACTCAAGCACCCACGCAACCAAGCAAACCGGAAGTTTATTTCATTAGATACAAGACACAGGTAATACGAATGTTGGGTAGATAAAATAACTTTATTCCTCTCCAATGAAGGAGGCTACTAAAACACATGTGTTTCTTTTTTACAAGTACAATAACAGGTGATTAAGAATTCAAAGTTTAACAAACAAAGTACTTAATGCTATTGCTTCTTTATCGTTTAGAAAGAAGCACAGAGCGCTGAATACGGTCCTCCGCAATCACCCCCGTCGGATAATTATGGCGCACCACCGTCCAGCTCTGGTGGACCTTATTAAACGCTTTCATCGCACGTGAGAATGTTTACTGGCAATGAAATACTCGAATACAGGTAAATCTCTGATTAAAGAGATATCATTTGGGAAAATTGTACATCTACGAGATTTTGCAGACCGATCTGTACGTAATACAGATTACTATTACAGATTTTTTGTAGGATATTATTAGACTTAAACACTCTGACTATTTATCGTCGTAAATTCTTAGAACATTTACCGAAGACATTTATTGGGGTTAATTAACTTCAATAATTTTTCAAAAATATGTTAGATATTCGAATGATTCTACCGGTTATTTAAATACTACTAAAAATGAAGAAGGATTGGTTAATCAAACATGTCTTCAATAACAATATTGATCTTTTTTAGAATACTGATATCTACAAAGGATTACCAAATGTAGTAAAGTGATGTTCGATATATTTTTTTATTAGCGTAAATGAAAATAATTATAATAGACGTATGTATTTTTTAATAAAACTATTTGTACTTTTGTAAAATTTTATCCTTATTTATTTTCTCTTCTAGTTTCGCTAAAGGATTAGCTTACTTAACACAAAAGTAAATCACAAGGGGTTGAAGTAACACAAAAGCACACCCCTGTTAAAGTACAAGTATATTCGAAAATAATTTTGCAATAACACAAATAAAAATTACCGTTACCATGTTAGGAGGGAAACCCTCGATATGTACGTCTCGCCTTTATACTACAAAATTATTTAAACTATATTATAGTTAGCGTAGTAACGTGTTTAGTACAAAGAAAATTGTGAAAAATATTTTGCGCACCATTCACTAAAGGTATATTCCCTTTTGCGCTAGATCCCCTAAAAGGAATCAATGTAATAAGACTCTTTATCATCCATTCATTCATACATTATCTTTTCCCATCTCGCTTATAGTCAAATTTGAGCTTACACGATTCAATTCTAACAAAGAGAATTGAATAATATATTTACTTTCAAATCAACAAATGACTCGATTCTAAGTTAATCACTTTATAAATGCTGTTAAATCTGTAAATACGTTTAAAGAAAATTGTACAAAAAATAGATATTTTCATTAAATATTCGAACAATTCTAATCGAATATCTTGCGCAGCGGTGTAATTACAAACATGTGAAACGATGACTATCATTTATTCGAAGAAAAAACTTTGTTTTACAAATTTTGCTAAAATTTTTCAAATCACGATTCTTCCTTTGACTAGTTTGCACAGCCGCTATCGTATTTCTATAATGTGATCATTTAACTCCCTAAAATCACTAAAAAATACTTTGGGAAAATATTCACTGTCTACATTACATCTAAAAAAAATCCTGAGCACCTTTTCATAGAAAAAAATTTTCTCCCAGAAATTCTTCCGACAAGAAGAAAGCTCTGAAAATTCTCTCAATTACTCTATGAGCAATTAAAAATTAATTTTACATCTTATTTAAAGAAAGTGATATTTTCCCTAAATTCGAGCAACTAAGACAACGTCTCTAATTGTTAACGTTGTGTGCGATTAATTTAAGTATGTATCAATCACGAACAAATTACAAAGAACATGCATTATAGTCTTCCCTGGTTAACAGTAAACGTCTACCATCAATTTTAAAAAGCATGCGATGTCAAATCACAAATATGTCTTATAAAAGAAAACAATCGAGGCAATACTTTTTGATGGCAAGACCTAATAAGAAAATATTCTCCTACTTGTACGTAGATGACAAGCTTCTCTCTCTTTCAACAAATCTATCCTATAATCTAATATTGTATTTTTCACTTTTTAAAAATAGATAGTTTGTAAGCAATTTTTGCCCACTTACAAACTTTTTTATCGTTTCAATATTTAAAGAGCCATATTGTTCGATAATATTTCTTAAAAACTTGTTAGGTATTATTCGAGCTTTTTTGGTTTCCTTTTGATAAGGAATTTCTTAAGTAGTATAGAAACGAAAGGATAAGATAGGTAGATAATGTGACCACTGTAATAAATAGAAGAGTATACCTGGTGATAACGAGTATACGACAAAAGAATGAAAGGAACAAGACTGTAGCCCATGAACATAGACGTATAGATAAACGTAAAAATTGCAAAGGCGATCCGAATTTCGGGATGACTTTTCACCAAATTTTGTACCTTTTCGTTTCTCTCTAATATCTGAGTTAACTGAAAGAATTAAAAATTTTTATATGATAGTTAATTGATTTATCAAGTAAGTCATTCAACAAAATATTTTTACTGATAAGGTACTTCTCACAAATGTATACTTACGTCTCTTTCAGCATACATGATAATAAATTCCATGAAGAAACACACATAGTATCCCGAATGGAATCCATGCCATACGGCGAGGAAGAGTAACGTTGCGAATTGACTATACAATTTCGACCCCAAAAATTTCAGCCTCTTGTAAATATACTCCGCGCACCAATGGTTAGTATTTATATTGAATGATAAAATCAAATAATTAAATCTGGTTGCTGTTTCAAAAGTCAACAATTGAATATTTTCACAACCATTCCAAACAGGTTGATTTTTCTTATCTCTTCCATTGTAAGTCAGTCCGAAAGTTGTGCAAACCTAAAATAATAGCTTATTTATGAATATTTTCGAAACAACTTGTTCGACTGATTTAAAATTCTTACCCCCTCACTGAACAACCAACAGAAAACGTATTTATAGAGATTAACGTGGCCCCAGAAGCCAATCATAAGTAGACGTTTCAGGAAGTTGTGTTTCAGAAACTCTGTACTTAACAAATATTGATTCGGAATATATAGAGTTCCTAACTGGAACATTATCACGTAAATAAATCCGATCAGTATTCGAGTAATACCAGGTGTCACGCAATCCGGTAATTTAATTTCATCCTTTTTAACGCTCTGTAAATATAAAACATCAGTTGTTTTGTTTTAAGACAAAAGTTCGATTAACATTTTTAGGGCAACTTACATCATCAATGAGTCGACCATTCACGAAGTCTAAGTACCTTTTCATACTAAACTGTGGACCGACCAGAAACGACCCCGGAAAATACGTAAATGCTGCAACCTCCAAAAATGTAGGTTGTTCTTTCAAGGCCACCTGTTGCTGCACTGCAGATAGCTTTTCCTGGAAAGATAATTTCATTATACGAAAAAGAGGAAATTTATGTTTCTCACATTCGTACTTCTTTGTACGTACTTCTGATTTTTTACCGTCAAGTATGTTGAACGCTAGACCAATTAATCGTAATGTTAATACACATTGCGGCATAGTCCATTTAATATCATAATCATCTGTACTTGTCGTGTAATATCCTGCGAAGAATAAAAAAAAAATTTATGGATAATTATTCATGAACTTTGCTCGGTCTTAAAATATAATACAAATTGTATAATAATTGTTTTATACCGTATAGAAGATATGACATATTGAAGACGAAAGTAGCGAGAACCGATAAAGAAGTACCACCAAAAAGTTTCAAGATGAGGTAAGTGATACATAATGTTGCTGCTGAGTGAAATGTATTGTGTTCTGAAAGTATTGTTTACATTCGATTAATTTTTCCGTAGAAATTCATAATTTGTAATTAAAGTCGCTTGATAGAAAGAAGAACGACAGACAACGTATAATTAAACAACGTGAATGCAATTATTTTAATTCGTTTTTTCGATGCGACAGAGTAAAAAACATCGTATGTTATTCTCGGTATCAATTAGCATATAAAATTTAATTACCGTAATTCCAGTAGCAGATCAAAATGCCAGAGATTGAGAAAAATAAATGTTGAAGAATCGGACTTTTTCCATATAAAGTATATCTGTGAAAAAGGGCAATAGGTAATCCTGAAAATTCAATTACAATTATGATACTATTGTATTCCGCTGAAATATTAAAAATAATTGTCGATTCACAAATTTCATAATTTAAATATTAATCTTTTAAATTTCGTACAATCAGTAATAACATATTTTATTCTAGATCTAATATATTTATTCTAGCTGTAATATTTAACAAAATTTTCAGAGAAATAGAGTTCTAAGAACACATTATGCAATTACCATTGCAAACGTGAATATGTATGTCATTTCAAAAAATCATAAATAAAGTTGTAGATATAGGTACATAACTTAGATCAAGGTAAACACAACATTATTAAGTAAAATGAGCAACGCATGTTCTTTGTAATTATTTCTGCAACCATTATCATTTCTGTGACACTTTCTGTTCTGTCAAACCGTTAAAATAATAATGTTTCAGAACTATTTAAATAATGACTTTAATACTTTCGAAAGAGATTTATATTCATTATGATAAAGATATTGTTTGCACATGCGCAATGATGAAATCCCTAACCTTTTCTGAAACATTGTAAGGCTATGTCCAATTCTATTTTGAATCGTAAAGTTCCCAAAATTCAATTTGATATAACTATGAATATACAAAGAAGTTGAATACACATAATAAATAATTCAAAGGTTGGTTATATAATCACTGATTATGCAAAAGCAAATAAAATAAGGTTATAGGTTAATATACTGATCATAAATGTTGAATAAAACTTGTAGAACCTGTAAAACGAAAGGAAACAATGTCTTGTTAAAACACATCAATTACCAAGTAAAATGGAGATAAGAAGACGAAGTGCGGCCTCGGATGCATTTAAGGTTTCCGAGAAGCTCGATAACATACTGCTCGACATTGCTGATCCTTTCTAAAGTTGGTCCCCTATTTTATTCCTTAAATTTCTCGTATTATTCCTATAACGTTTCCATTAAACTTCCTTTTTCTCAGGTTTCTTTTAATCAAAATATCTGCAATTTATCGAAACGATACCATCACCCATCACCGAGGTTATCAGTATACTGATATTAAAATCGCGATGGGAAAGGAAATGACAATAACAACTTTGCGTAACGCAACAACGCATCCGATGAAGAAAGTGTTCTAAAAATCGCTGAACTCAATATTCATTAAAAGCAAAAAGTCCTTGGATAAATCGTAAAAACAAAATCACATATTTAAACAGACTTCTCCTGTTACAGATTGACCGTGCAGTGAGTGACTATACAGTTTACTGAAATAAATTGGAACGATTCGAAACAATCAAAGTTATGGTAAGTTTAGGAACACCTAAAAACAAATTTTATTATAATAAAATTAGAATTAACTGCGTAATTGTAAATACTTGTAATGCTTAACATTATTATCTTCTTTCAGGGGAGTAGGGAAAATGAGCCAACTTTGTACCTTTTTCTCCGAATCTACTGCAGTTATCAATTAAAAAATTTTTAAAACATCAAGTACTGTACTAGATGTGCATTTTAGCTAAAGAGGATCTTTATATAAAATAATTAAAGCAAGCTGAACGATAAGTCAGTCACTCGACTAACATGGCGGTTAGGATGTTAACATGCTAGTAACGAAATTACCTTTTTTTTAAGAAAACTTGGCTATAAAGCGGAGAATCACAAAGAACGTACTACAATTTTAATTAAATCTGAATTTAGAATCGTTTAAAATTGAAGAACTGTTTGTATTAGTTAATAAAATGAGGTACAGTTAAAAAATAGGAAAAAGATTCCATCAACATTTCTTGGTAATAAATAATTATTTAATAACTTAACTCGTGTCACACTATACATTGTTATAATCGCAATATGAAACATATCGTAGGATTCACTGAGTGGCAGTTTCCAACAACTAACATACTTTTCTTTCGATTTTTAGAACCGGAAATTAACAAACCCTTCGCAATCCAACTACAATTTAACACAAAAATCGTACAATAATAATACCTAAATGAAGCCTACTAGAAAAGGATTTTAAGTTACACACTAGTAACTGCACAGTTTACTATGGCATATCAAAGTAAGTGTAAATTACAATCATTATAAAAGAAGTAATCCCTCTCATATTACATGTTCTCTTCTCGCTGCTGTACACTGCACCGACATACAGATTTTGATTTACAACATAAATTAGAAGTTTCGAAGCTTACGAAGCTTAAGCTTATTATGAAAATCATAACTTAAATCAATAATTTATAAATATTATGTTTGAACGAAATTTCTGTCGGTTATAAGAGCAGTATTGGGTCGAAGGGTTTAAAGGAATACGAAGAGTAGGTACGTACATCGATAGTTCTAGAGGTCGTCTCTAATATAGAGACAATAAACAAAAAATCCTATATTAATTTATACGGGATACTCCGGTCGAGAAAGCGGTTATCTTTACAGAAAAATGCAGTCGAATTACTTAGAGGCACAGTTTCCGATACATTCTATGTATAAGAAGATAGGATTCGACTTTAGAAAAATGGTGGTTGCTTTGAAAAGGCCGCCGATTCTTCTTTAGAAAAATACATCGGTCGTAGTTTCGCGCAACATTATACACTTCTTGTACACGCATACATAAATCTAAAGTCACCTATCACGTAGTTACGCGTATATTTGAATCAACTGGCTGATAAACAAGAATTAAATTGATTTAACGTTTGATTCCGTTCTAGACTTTCAACTCTTCGTTTCGAGTTAATTAATTTGTTTATTGTACGCACACAATACGATTACAATCAGACGTATGTATCTGAAGAGTCACTTCATTTTCCTAATACATACTAAGTATTTATTTTGAAGTAATTATATGAAACACACGCAACACAATGGTCACTAAATATTTTTACAAAATTTTAACTCATATGATCTCAGCAGGCACTTTATAAATTATAGAAAGTTTTTATGTACCTTGTAAGAAACTATACTTAAAGTTTACTAGTCCACAATTCTAATACATATTAGTTTTTATCGGAAAACGAAGAGTCAAGTCAACGCTTTAGATTCTAATACTGCCTTACGATTTCTTTATTGAAGCCGATTTAATATCATTTTTACTATTCTTAAAGAATTTTATGTTCGGAGCAATAATTTGCAATTTTATGCGTTACAGATTGCCGATCATTGCTCAAGAATATCAGAACCGACCGAGTTCTATAAGAAATTGAAATACTTTTCATTTGTAATTTTGATTATAATTCTATAATGGAATTACCTTGTTTGCCTGGTCTATCTGTTTAGTCAAGAAACACTAAAACGAGGAATTTCGTAAGTTATTAATAAAAAGGAAAAATTTTGATTGATCGAAACAAGGTATGTAAATGGTACCCTGTTCGAGAAACTCTTCAATGTAAAACAGAAACTCGGTCAAATAATTAATCTTGTAATATTATGCTTTGTTGACTATAAAAAAGGCACACACACGTACACTTTCGTTTAACTTTCAAAATCTGGTCATCACAATTAAAATTTACGTATTTTTTAAATAATTAAGTCTCAAGAGTCACTTTTAGTTGATAATTAATCATACGAAAGTGTAGGTTTACATTTAGACTGTACATTTTACTATAAATATGCGTACGGATAGAAATTATTTTTAAACGTATAAAAATAAAGATTCTTGGGCGTTTCTGATTTTCTAGATTGACAGAAATTATGAATTTTTACGAAATTAAAATATGCTTTCATGTCAATTGAAATATTTCTATCAAAGTATTTTATCAGTTCCATTTTGCTAATGATTCGAAATAAACTAATAAATCCAGAAATCAGAAAATAATGAATATCATTTTTCAAAGACTGTAAGGATATTCTGCAAGATAATTTTTAATTAATGGTGGCAAGTGATCAGTTGGTAGCTTACACCTATTAACAACTAATCTGGCCAAATGACTAAGAGACATGACCTCCTTGACCAATGGTTTCGTCAAATAAATTTCACTATAAAGCTGTCCGCTGTAATCTACCCAGACTTCTTTTCTATGCTCGTCAACGCTTTTCGAATATTCTACGTAATATTCTAACATTTTTATCGGACAATCAAAGAGCGGGATCGCGAAAGCAAGTCTAGGTTCGGCGTCTAATCGAAATTGTCCCAAAAAATAATGAACTCTAACAGAGGTGGGTCCTCTAGCAGTCTGTACAGACACAGCGAACATGTATCTACTGTCTGAGCTGTCCCTCATCAACCATCGGCCAACCGGGGCATTTTTTAATAAATTTTCACTTTGCTGCCAACTAAGGCCTTCGTGGTACCAACCACAAATTTGTAAAAGTCTTTTAACTTCACAGAGTTTAGCCGCGTTTCTATCCATCATGTAACTATCAAAACTCCATGGACACGGCATCAACCACGACACAGGCGTGGTCGGAGTCCTGTCTCTTCTTTCCTCAAAGTTTTCTTGATTATTCCGAGCTTCGTTTTCTTGCACCAAACCGCCGCCGTTAAAATTGTTTCTAGTTTTTGATGTTGTATTCGATAAAGAGTTTGGGGAACTTGTCGTAGTTGCAGTTATGTTCACTGTACACTGTCCCAGACTTGCAGGCAGCTGTACAGTTGCATTCACTTGGATTTGAAGTGAATTCGAATCCAGGACCATGGAATTATGATTTTCAGAAGCTGGCGGACTCTTCGATTTAACGTGATAAACATTCTGAACGTTGTTACAACAGCAATTGCAATTTCCTCCTTGTCCTGATTCTTGTTCACTTTTCTTGGAATTTTTAGGCTGCTGAAAGTGCATCACCGGCACACCGGTTACTTGGAAATTCGAGAAAGGCGACTTCTCCTCGCTATTTCCTTCGTTTAGATTTCCTATCGACGGCTTTTCTTCCGCCTTTTGCGGTAGAATGTTTCTTCTAGTTCCTGGTAGTTCTTGACACCCGCTTGGGGGTAGCAAGAACATCCTTTCGTTGCAATTACCATTCTGTTGCTGACTCTTTTGTTCTGGAAGTATGATCGAAGTCTCGTGATTTTCAGTCGACAATGTCTTTTGTACAAAGCATCCACCACCAGACAATTTTGGACGGATTTCCATACGCGGTATTTGCATATGGATCCCAGAATCTGTACTCTGAATCAAACAACCTCCGGACTGTATACTTGGAGTTGTTATTGTTACGTTTCCTCCGGTCAAGTCGCAACTCGTGGCTATCTGATATCCAGAATCCTCTTCGTTCTTATCAATCTCTTCGTTGATTAACGAAAATCCAAGTATCTGTGCATCTCTTCTAGACGCCTGATGAATGCTGTCTTTCTGTTTTTCGATTCTCGGCTTCTCCAAATCAACAGTCTTTGATGGATAGTTAAAAGAGTTAATAATAGGTTGACTATGGATGATAGTTGGTGCATTTATAAAACAACCACCACCGCTTGTGTAGCCTTTAGGAACTAGCAGGCCACCATAGTAACAGGTTGCTGGATGAATTAAGGCATTATCTCTGTCCATGTTTTCAAGTTCGCAACAACCTGGTGCTGGAAATCGGTGACGACAGTTTGGACACATAACTGTCAACATTTTGTGTAGAGATTCTTTGTATTCAACATAACCCGTTGTCCCGTACCTGGAAGCAGAAAATAGAAAATTAATAATAATACACATGCGTGTATGATTATTTTTTAAATTAATATTGCGGATGTTTCTAGCTGGTTACTCGGTTTTTTGAATAAAATTATAGAAGGATTCTTATTTCAATTACTCGTTATATGTGATTATTTATAAATGACTGGCATAATTTACGTAATTGACCGCATTGCGTAAGCCATTTTCCATGAAACTCTGTTTCAACTAAAAATACTAACAGCTCTATATAATTCTGCTTTCTGCATCAAGGATCCTATTATTTTCTTTCATTCTAAAAGGAAAGTTATTTTTTCCTCGATTTTCCTCTTATTCCTTTTATAATTTTATTAATTCCTCTTAATATCACCGTCGACTTAAATAATTGCACGCTTTATGCAACCGCTTCTGATTCTAAGAACGATGTGTATCGTGTTCAATTCGTGCTCTTGCAAGGTTGATTTAACAGATTAAAAAGAACAAAATAAATATGCGTTACACAGCAAACAAAGAAATTCCAATAGAATCAAAGATTCTTCAAAAGTGATTAATCGGTATCTTTTTAAAACCCGTGAAAAGATTTTCCTCGTGAAATACCCAATCGTTCAATTTCTGTTAAATAAAAATTCTGCAAATATGAAAAATGCAACAGATGTTCATAACCGCTTCCTCTACCGTTTCAATAACCGACGTACTCGTGTAACATAGCATTACGAAACACCATATAATGTAACAAGATTCTTGTAAAGGTTAGAAAAAGAATTTATTAAAGAGAAGTGCATTTCTCATGAATGTCACATGATCGTTATTCATTGACACAAGAGTCCATTAACCTTGCCAGTATCTCGATCTGGTGATTTAAACAAATCTATAGCATTTCTAATGGTAAAGTTGAATGTGTCGAATGACAATTCATAGGGGCGTTTTAAGACCAGGTGTTGCATTTTCCCGTGAATCTCGACAGGAATAGAGACGCATCTTTCGACATCGTTCGCGCGTACCACAGCTGCCTTCTTTTTCCATTGTGTTTTAATGGGCCACGTGGCAGAGAGATGTCCGAGTGTTAGTAAAGCGGCGCAGAGCCGCTTTTCCACGAACGTGTCGCAACGTTAGAAGGCCAAGCCCCCATTTAGAAGTTGTTCTTGTCCTCTCTAACACCCCACCGTTTCTATCTCTTTTCTCCCACCTCTCGGACTTGCAACTAAACTCACAACCCCCACCACGACTACACTCGTTCGTTTCACTATATATTAATCACAATCAGAGCTTTTTCCAAATATTTGCTCAGTACACGCGAGAGATAAAACTCACGTATGTAATTTAATGATAATAAAAACGCACGCCACCTTATTATTGATTCAAGTTTCAACGGCAAACATTCGAACTTGTTTGTTAATAAAATTACGAATATTATACTAGTAATAATAATTGTTAGTTACTCAACAGTTTAGAATTCTTTTTTTTTTTGGCATATTTTTCTGAACTGTGTAAACACTTGTGGCAAAAAAAAAAAAAAGAAAAAAAAAAGAGAGAGAGAATCGATCGTTCCCGCGTAACGCAATACGTGTTCCAATGAATTGTCGTGTTACGATTCAGAAAACTGCAGTTACAATAAACGTACATCGTCCCGAATAAAAGGAACGATTGCCAGTGCCGATTTCGAGAAACGATTTCACATCGCGTCATCGACGAATTGGTATTATACGGAACCCTATAATCGTTTCCACCAAAAGATCCTCGATGTACTCGCAACCTTCCAATTCTCGTTAGCCATAGATAAAAATTACCGGGAAACGAAGACGGGCAAGGTTAACTTAAAAAAGAATTTTACTCGGTGCGTAAGCCCCGTTCACCTTCCCGGGAAATTGAAAACGATTGTCTTCGTTATCTCGAACGGGAACAGCACTAAATTTATAGAGATTAAATATTTCCTTCATGGTTACAAATTACCGAGTATCGTCAAATAGAAACACGAAGAGTAATCAAATAATAAATTGTTTCGTTTTATGACGCAAGCCATCTTTGTTATCGAGTCTTCTCTGAAATAATAGTCGTCAATTGGTGACATGTACGCGATATCGATGTTACACGGTACTGAAATATAAAATTTTCAATGACAATTAGGGATAATAAATTCCGAGAAGCTGAAGAATTTAAAAATAAAATCTTGTTTACACGCAGTTTGTATACTTTGGACTGAATATATGCAAATTCTGCTCGTTTTATTCCTTCGAGATTAATTAATTTTTTTATTATTTTTCAGCCTTGTCTTCTGTCTTTATCCTTCCTCAACCATCTGTTCTCTCCTGACGTTGGAATGTCGAGGGGAGTGGAAACGGCAAGAGGAGCGAGAAAGAGAAAAAAAAATCTTTTTTCGAGCAAAGAGGACTTCGCAGAATTGGACGTCGTAATTTTATTTGAGGAAACAGAACAAGACCCCGTTGGAAGCGTACAGAATTAGGAAAAAAAAAAAAAAAAAAAAAAATGTTGGAAGGTATATCTTTTTTAAAATAATTTCTCAATAATATAAAATTTACGAGTTTATCAAAGGAAGAAATCATATAGCGTGTCTTATAAGTTTTTTTAAAAATACGCAAAGTGGTAGTAAAACGGTTGAAGAAACAAACAATTCAAGGCTAATTTGATTTTGAAAAATTAACTGAGTAGAAAAAATAAAACAGGATGTTATAGACGCTTCTAAAAGGATCGTTAAATAGAGAGAGAAAAAATTATGGAAGGAAAGCAAGTAAATGAATAAAATGAAGGTATAAACGATCAAAGATTTTATAAGGCCCGTAGATGAACGGAGGAGTGCATAAATTCGGTGAAGAAAAAGCAACGAACGAGGTTTTACGATGCATGGTCGAAGTCATAAAGTGGTTCGAAAGCATCATAAATTGAGAGAAGGGTTGGGGGTCTACCCATATCGAGGGGTCTGGCTAGAAATTCGTCTTCTTGGAAAACGACGAACTGGGCTGATGACCTGTGCGCCAGGCGAAATACAGTTCGTCGTAGCGAATGCTAATTTTACTGGTCAACTTCATCGATGCTTTTACGGTCTTTCGGTTACGGGTCCTTTCAAAAATCTTGTTCCTTGCGCGAAATAATCGTGTAATTTCTCGCAAGAAATTATATCCTTGAATTTTTGGGTTAGGAGTTAGTATATTGAGGATTAAATTAGAATTTCCCGGGGAAAATGATTTTTCCACGAACCCGCCCTCTCCTGTAGACTTTCCCGAGAAGAATGACGATGTAGGGGAGGAGGCCCCGTATATATAGATCTATGACTACCCACTACTTGCGTATAAACGCTTACGCGGGAAAATTTGATTTAATATTCATACTTTTAATGAAATATTCAAACGTTTTAATGTAATAATTAAAACTTATATAATTTCTGTCGAAATTACTTAAAAATATTAATAGAGTTACAATTAGGATTTTGAGAATTCCTGCTTCCTCTACATCGTTATTGTCTCTAAAAGGCTGATTTAATCGCGAGTCTACTTAAGTATTTATAAACGTAGTCGATTAAAAGAATTTTTTAAAAGGAGGGCAATTAAATATTCAAGTACATTCAAATGAAGTTGTATAACAGAATTTAGTAGAATCGTTACAGCACAATTTTTATGTACAGCAGTTAATTGAACAGTCGCCGTTTCTGAATGGTGCTGTAGCTGGCCTCGTTATCGACAAGATTTCCAGCAAGTATAAATGAGAAGAGGTTCCTCGAATTAGTGGTAACACGGATTTTATCTCTTACAGATAAGCGTGAATTTTATTTTACAAGCCTTCGAGGAAATAAACCTGCTTCCGTGAAAGCTCTACTTTTGTTATTACAAGTACTTAGAACGTTACCACCCTTCGTTCATTATATTCTCTGGTCATTTCTTTGTATCTTTTAGATTATCACTTAAATATTGTATTCATTTATTTTGCAACGATCACAAATATTCGTATATGTACGTTTTATTACGTTTTTTATCTTGCCTAAACTCTTCTTTCAATAACATTTGCATAAAAGTTTATGGTTTTCTTATGAGTTTGAAGAGCAAACAAATACTCTTTGTAACTAAATTTCAAGTTTAGCGTTTCATTTAGAATCGTTTCCCATAAAGAAACGTATTAAGGGAAACAAGAAAACTGTCAGTAAATGATTCATTCTTGCTATTATGACAATGCCAGTACTTGGAAGCTTTTTGCGTTGAAGACATAATCGATGTCAAATAGGAATAAATTTTCGTCTCGAAACGCGAGCAAATGTCGATTAACAAGCACAAAGTTTAATGAATAATCATCGAGCAAAATAAAAGCAAACTCGAGTTTAATTAATATTCATAGAAGCATCGTCGAAATGAATGCAAACGACTTAAGAACAATACTCAGAGGTGGAAAAAAATAAGAGGAAATATTCAGTTCATGCGAAACGATGGATCAAGCTGGCAGAATTTCTGAGAACGTCGCTTACCAAAATATTTTCGCAATTTGGTGACAGCTGGGAACAAATCCCCTCCGGAACTTTCTCCGAAAAGGTACTTCCACTTTCACCTCGTGCGTTTAAAATAGCTCGTAGCACTTCTAAAAATAATTACAAGCGCGATGGAAGTTTTTCCGAATCGGTGTGGTTCAAACGATAACGTGAGAAAAAGATGATTCCATAAGAAATAGTTGAATCTTTTCGCAAAGGCACGACGTCTGCTTTTTTTTTTAAAAATGAGAGATGGTAAAAGTAACAGAAACCACGTCACCGACACGAGTGTCAAGACAGCACTGGCGCTGCTACCACTGAATGAATCTATAATTGTTTTTGTAGAGAAACTTGGAGGGAGCGAGCACGTGATCCGGCTGCACGTAGTAGGGGAAATCGAGGAAGACTCGTCGAGGGGCGTTAAGAAATTTATTCTACGGATGGCGATGATCAAGCAAACGATCAAGCAAATTTTTTCCAATGTCAAAGGTTACGGGGCAAAAAATCAATTAAATCTGCACGATCGATTAAATTGCTGCGCAATTACTTTAGAAATATTAGACATAATAAATGTCAATCCTTCTGACATTTACAATATGAAGTTGGAATATGTTGAGACCTTAACCTTTTACCTATTAGAATCTATGACTCTGCTAATTCGATGTTCCTTTTCATATTTAACCATTGAAGAACGAAGTCTGGGTCATCTGAGACCCAAACTTACAAACAATATACAAAGATATTAATCTAAAGTTAAATGAATAATTTTGAAAGGAACGGTATAAAATTTAGGAAATGAAAATAATGTGAAATACAAAATTAAATCACAATTGGGGCTCTCTCCATGGTCCGTCGTCCGAGGGTTGAATGGAGATTATTCAAATTATAACTAACTCACGATGCAATAAAAAGTAAGGTAAAGAACACTGACATCAGAGGTCAACTGAGATGATATTTAATAGGCGTCATCGAGAAAGAATGAGTGGATTTAAAATCAGCAGAAAACATATTACGCGTCTAATATGAATGATTACGTCAAGTTCAGGAGAAACGAGCGGAGAAATTAGATTAGATTGATTGACGCTCAAATCTGTCGCTAGTGCATGTGCTCTCTGTGTCCACACATGCCTCGCGGAAAAATGGATTCCTTTTAACTGGTTTACGTGCGATCTCGTCTGTGCTATCGCGTCATCGTTCTCGCTTACGAGTTTGTACTTCCGTAGACCTCCCGTCGAAACGTCACGAATTCCGATGATTTGACGCTACGCCATACACCTATAACGATCTTGGCTGCCAATCGATCGCCGCTGCCAGACTGATACCCTCCCCGATCAAGAGGCACTCGACATTGCCAACATTTTACATATTTTTTTTTTTCCTCTCACAAAAACAACCTGTAAACAGTTTTTAATTAATCTTCGTGGAAAGCGATACACGAAATGTTGATATAAAAAAACATGTTATGAACCATTGATAAATTTAGATTTTTTATTATTTTTCACATGTTTATAGTTTTTTATTATCGAGTCTAAGAATATTCAGAAAGAACCGGAGAGAGAAAGGAAGGCGATAGTCGTATCTGACGATTGATGAAGAATCCTGGTAGGGGAAGAGACGAAAAAAGAGGGAAAAGAGAGAAAGAAAAAGGGAGGCGGACAGAGATCAAGAGAGATCAGGGAGGGGAAAGAAAGAGAGAGAGTCGCGTACCTAAGACACGTTATTCTTGTTCATTTCCAAGAATAAATCCGTAAGAATCCATCTGGTCGTACAATACGAGTTTCTCTTAACAAAATACGCTATTCCCTCCGCCCCTTTCCCTTTCGAACATTTTGCAAACTCTCTGATCTATTAGATCCGATATCTGCACTTTATCCCCTCTTTATTATTTTTTTCCAAGATATTCCCTGGATACGCTAAAATCTTATCTGAACGTTTAATCTCTTTTCTGAAATCTCTTGATATTTATTACCAGGAATTTTGTCTTGAAATTGAAATCCATATTTGTACAAACAATCGTGGGTGATTTGTGTATCCATTATTCATCGTTCCAGACTCATAAATCATTTGCATATATGAAAGTATAAATTGAAAATCTTTACGTTCAGAGATACCGTCTAACCGAAAGGTGTTCCTATGATCATTATAAACCTATAGACCTCATGAATTTTGAGGAAAACGTTCCCCATCGATGATACACGGTGTCTGAAAGAGTAACACCTGGCCGTGAGTCACGGGTCTGAAATATGTATCCTAGCAGAACATCTGACGTCTCTACGCAGGCATTTGGTATCCTTTAATGAACGAAAATGCTTTCAGGTATATTAAAGTATTATTAACCCGCCAGCTTTTGAATCTTAAGGAAACAGCTTCCATTAAACAAATACGAATTACATAATAAATACATACGTGAATAAACTCGCCTACCTACCGGGGTTTATTTCGGTTCTAAATAAAACATACTCGTAATAGTATGAACCGCGTGTTCGTATATCGCATATATCCAGAAAGCTTGGATGCTTCTTGTACAATAGGTGGAGGCTGATTCCGTTATTAGGCACACAATGCGTCCCATTGTGCATTTATGGTGGCTTGGTGAGGGAGATTTCGTGGTAACTCGTCAGGTTTTGTAGAAATCGCTTTTTTTTTTTCTAGATTGAACGATTCGAGCGTGACTTCTTTGAAATAGTTCCTATTCCATGATATGAATTATATGAATATATATATTCAACGTACCGGTAAGAATATTGTCAGGTGATAATTAGGGTAGAATATTCGTTAAAAAATAAACAAGTTTGAACGAGTGGTATTTGAAGCTTTACCTTACACGGACAATTTCCACTTACAAATTAAGGAAGAATTCCAGCTAATCAACTCGAGTCCCTCTAATGAAAGTGGCTCCGGTGTTATTTCATTTCTTTCGAGTTGGTCGGAGCAATTTGTAGAAGAATGTTACCTTTTTTTGCGAGAACGCAAATGATTTTATAATGTCGCGTTAGGATCGCGCGTAAATTAGAAAGGCAACCGAGGAGCAAGGATTATAGCCTGGAATGATAAAGGTGACTAAATAGAAACGAGCCGGGCCTCGATCAGCGGTGGATCGAGGACTATTTCAGAGAGGATTCCAGGAACGTTTCGAACGGAGAAATCGAGAGACACGCTATGCTCCCATTTCAGCTGGTCGCGTAAGTACGTGGGTCTCATACAGCCTGTTATCGTATCTGTTACCTTGTGATGGAGCCAGCCATCCTATCAACAACAAGCTTCTTTATGACGATTACACTCCATTCTCTCGAATCGACCTTTCCTCGAACCGGCTTACCCAAGGGCGCGCCTTCCTATTAAGGTCGGGCCAATCATTGTCCGAAATACTTATCGTAAAACACCGTTTTACATATTGTTATTAGTCGTATTGCATTCAGAAAACCAATATACTAATTGCTGGTGAATTATTATAAATAGCATTGGTTACTACTCCAAACCAGTGAGTAATAATGAAGAGGAGTAGTCGAGGAACATTTGGATGGGACTCGAATTTAACAAGTAACAGGTTAAACTTTATGATGAGACCCATAGGATCTTATAAAAAAATTTAGAAATTTGCAAAAGAATAAGAAAACGTAGTATTTACAAAAAATGCTAAGGTCTAGTGAATCTCATCTTACAAGTTGAGGGTTAAATGATGGGAGAAATATCTTTTATGCCGCTTGAATACCATGGTATTATTTACTGGCAAAGCGTAATTAGTGAAAAGGAACAATTTGTGTAAAGATAAACATTTACAGGAATACAGGTGAACATACCTTTTACACTGGTTCTCGAAGCGTCTCCTTCTTCGGGCACAATTAGAACTGCACAATGTAAGTTTAAGTCACGAATAGCTCACAACCGTTATTTTACCGGCAATGTAAAGGATTTAAAAGACTAGTCAAGAATCAGTTTCACTTTTCTTTATATTAATTACAGAATTTGTACGAAACATTCAGTTTGGTGAATATATTTTAGCGTCTTAATCGAACTTGTTCCGCCATTGCTCTTGTTAGTTCTTGAAACTGACAAATAAGGGCGCTCGAATCAGGGAAAAAGGTGAAGACCAAGCTTTAAACACAGAATTATCCTAAGAACGAACCGGAAAAAATATCAAATATAGTTTACACAAATGTATATATGAAATTTATATACAAAAATCTATTGAAAGTATGTATTATGAACATATATCTTCATTTCTTTTTCTTAACAGTAAAGTATGTATAGTATGTTTTCGACCTGATGGCATAGAGAGAGTGAATCTACATGAAAATACAAGTTAAAAATATAGAGTGACATTTCCTCGTACGAGGCTTTATTTTTCACTAAATCAATGTTGAAAATTCATCGAATTTTAAAAAATCGCGAGAACAAGTGGCACCATCTATTGTTTGGTGCGTAAAATGAGCTTTTTGATTTCGCCGATAGGATGCGCAAAAAATATATTTATTTTTAGTTCTCGCCATTAGCATAAGGCGGCGCTATTATATTTTAAAAAGCGTCCCCTAGTAGCGGTAACAAGAAGTAAAAGTCAAAGTAATTTTTGACACTTGCGCTAAATGACACCACTTGTTCATTGGCGCATTTTTTTAAATCGGATAAATTTCAACATTGATTTATTCGAAAATGAAGCTTTGTACCAAAAGTGTTATTCTACCTTTCTAACTTATATTTTAATGTGATTTCACTGCTTTCTGCGGTTGTGCAATCAAATCGGAAGCACTGTATATATGTGCGAAAATTTTAAGATCAGAAACAAACATTTTTAAGTACAGAAACAAATATAAGTACAGTCGGACATACTTAATAATTCTTTTTATTTTATTATTATTATTACTGCACTATATACAATAAACACGTTGTTAGTTACATTTGGCAGTAATAATTTCAAAAGAATTTCAAGATACACATTTCAGCACCATGTGTTAGTACAACAAATAATGTTTTAGAGACATTGTGGTCTTCTCATATGGTAAAACTGAAATTTAAAATTTGCTGTAACAAGTATTAACAATGATTATAAATGCAACATTTTATTAATTTTGTTATTATTAATATTCATTTATAGTTTCACATACTATATTTATACTTTAAATATGAAACTTTTTATTATTAAAGATATGTTACTTACATAAAAAATCACAATCAGAATTAATATATTTTAATAGATAAGTAATGCTGAAACAAAATTCCATCATTTCTGTTCTAATTATACTTGCGTCACTTGTGTTACCGTATGATTTGTACCCGTGCGTCCATTATTTTCTAGAAAAATCTGTTTTCCAATACTGGGAATTTTCCAACTGTTGCAGAAAAGTTCATTGAACGTTTTTCTAAATTGTCTACTCATTGTGCAATAAAGTATGAAATTTATAGCTGAGTTTACAAGGGTTAACATATCGATAACGTCACCTAAAAATTAAAATCACAATAATTAAAACTGATTACAATAAGCAATTGCTGATATTACTTTTATTATTAATAAATTAAGGAAATATATCAAACATCTTCCATTAATGTTAAACTACAAAAATTTGATAAATAATAATTACTAGTATATGTATATTGGATTACTTTTGAAATTTTACTGTTGTTCTGTTTACTGATATTTATTCAATAAATGCTCCTCGACTTTTTAACCTTTCTCTCAACTGTGTCGCGCTTTTAGTACTGATACAATACTCTACAGCTTTTGTATTAAAGTGACGATAAAACTCTTTCATAAAAGCAGAAATCAGATCAAAGGAAAAAAACTAATACCTATGTAAAAAAAATGCTCCACTTTTATGCAGCAAACATTTTTTCTTCTCTTTCAATTAAATTTCGAAAAATGAAACGATAAACATTTTACTGGTATACTCATTCTATGAAAATTTGAGCTCCAAATTGATATAACATAAGTGCTATTTTGTGAAATTTTTATTCTCTGAAATCATGTCAAACTTTTTACGTTTTGAAATCGACCAGTTGATGTACAACAACATAATATTTGAAGATACCTGTATCACATGCAACGTAAACTTTTCTCGATAAAGGAAAAATATAAAGAAGGAAACCTTCTTTTTCTTGGTCTCGCAAGTTGAGCAGAAGCAGAAGTCAAGTGAATAGTGGAAGACTTCTTTCTGTACGCTTCTTCTTAATCGAAAGCCGCTTCCGTTGCACACAGATATACCATATCCGAAAAGACTACGTAGAATTGTTATTTTAATCCTGCTGTTAAATGTAACTTTCAGTGGAATTTCACACCGGAGGATTAAACTTTTCTTTGAAGGTATCATTTTTTTATATACTCGTATATTATTGGACATTCTAGGTGGTTTTTAGTCAGTTGAATTTTTAACTTAAAAAATGATGTGAAAGAAAGTTTGCTGAGCCAGTATAAGTACTAACCCAGCATCAAGTAACAAGTCCGGAAAAATCCTGGACCAAGGAGCACACTAAAAAGTCCCAGTATTCCCTGGGGTAGTTCTGTCAATAAAAAAAGCAGCAAAACTGCGAGCAACATCATCGTGGTCCGATCAGTTTGCCGTTCTTTTTCAGCTCTTCGACAGCTTTTCTTCCTTTCAGAATTTTCCTCCTGAATATTCGTTAACTTTCGCCTTCTCCGTTTTGCCTCCAACAGCACTTGAAGAAGTTTCAAGCTGACAATCGTTAGAACAAGGCAAGGAAAAAGTTTTATTACCACACTGTAGATCCAAAAATTTAATTCCTTCAGGATGTCATGATTCTTCATCGTTTCGCTTAATCGAACAAAATACAGTGTTACGTTCGTTGTGTTTTCTAATGGTACATCTAAAAAGGTAAACGTTTTTTAATAAGATAAATTGAAAAAAAAAAGAAAGAAAAATAACTACGGGAACACGTAGCGATTGGAAACGAAGTTTATACAATGAAAATGCAAAATTCTGTACGTTCGATCATACTGAAAAATTAGTGTTGCAAATATCGGAATATCTCTGGTCTTATCGCTTTTTGTCAAGTTGAAAAAAAATGTATGAAAATAAAATAATGAAATAGAAAACATAGCATCAGAGATTGGACGCGCTTCGTGTGTTCAAGAATGCATATTAACTGAGCAGAGCTTTTAAACATTGATATTTTAAGCTTTGTAAATTATTTGCTGTTATACAAACAGTAAACTTTTAACTGCTATATTAATTGACGTATACGTTATGATAGTTAAAGTGCTTTTTCTAGTAAACCCATTAAATATAGTATTAAAATTTTCTTTTCTTCATTAATATCCAATACGTAAAATATCAAATGTTCCATAATAACCACTTTTAAAATAAATGGCTATTTTTCTTTTCAATAAAATCTCATATATTTAAAACGCTCATGAATTGTTTTTTTGCAAACAAACATTCGCGAATAAAATTTCCACAGAGTATCCAGGTCAACTTTTAGACACCGAAAGATATTTCTCTGCATATATTCAGAAAATACCCAACTGTTAGAAGAACTGTTCAAACAAGTACAAGAAAAAAGCTTATGGCACATCGCAAGAATTAGTTATGTAATATTCTTCTAACGAATGAGTGGAAACGAGCTTTTCGAATTAAATAGTTATAACAAGGTCGTTGCATAAATGTCAGTCGATATACAATTAAAAGTTTAGAACAATAATTAACATTTTTCGTGCATTAATGCATGCTCGTTTTAAAATAGAAACAGAGGAAGGGTAATGCGCGTTAACTGCTTACCGATCAAGCTTCGATTTCGAATATTTATGCTCATTCCATTGGGATCCAACACCTCTACTTGTTTTTTCACTTCTGTCGTAATGTACAGAGGTATACAAAGCACAGGGCAAAAAACGTACGCAACGAAAATTGCAAAAATAGTTCGTCTGTAACTACACCACTCTCTGTTCTGTTGTGGCCTTGCCACCGCCACGTATCTCCAGACAGCCAATATTAACGTCAAACAAATTGAAATAGTATGACAAACCTGTGAAAATTTAATTGGAAATTCAATTAACACAACCGTACCCTCCTTTTCCTTTTCTTTAGGTTGTTTAGAAAATCTCATTGACAGTTCCTTTTCTTAGTACCGGTAATTTTATACACAAAGAATAATGTTGTGGTTCTGCGAAGCAGAACTTTCCTATGCTTATCTTACAACTGTTGCTTCTCTAGTTGAAACAAGATTGATCAACTTGTTGGTCTTTCAAGAACACGGAATTACGGTATAATGAAATAAAGCTAAATTCATTTCTTGTTGGACTGCAATTTAGCCTTTAATTAAAGAAGAAGGAGGATGCAGTATGTTGGATTGATTGGTTTCCAAACATGTAGGTCAATCCTCATCAAACAAAGCAAGGAAACGAAGGTTCCCGTAAGAATGCGACCAACCGTAAATACCGAAACGACTTTACAGGACATCGGTGCACTATAATTTCTTTTTATGGTAATTGCTTTGCAAATCAATTTCTAATAAGTTTTCGAAGAAACATCAACAACAATGTAGATAATTTATTTAATTAACAGGTTACCTGAGCGAAGTTTGAGTGAAACAGCACGAAGATAGTCCATCCGTAGGTGAACGTGTCTCGTCTGGATCGTCGGTACAGATAAAGATGAATCGCGTAAGGAATGTAATCTATCATTACGAGTAAATCGGCCACAGCTAATCCTGTTAAAATTATGTTCGTAGGTGATCTCATCTCTCGCCGAGTCAGAACGAGAATGTTCAAAATGTTTGCGATCGAACCAAAAATGCAAACTAAGAGTGAGATCCAGCCGTGCAGCTGCGAATAATGTGAGTGAAACGAGGATAAGTTGCAAACATAGTAGCTCGAGGTAGTGTTAAAATTCATGTTCGTTGTAAATGCGTTTCCTCCTTTTCCTGTTTCCCTTCTTTTTTTCTTCCTTTTTCTTGCAAATAGGTTCAGTCGGTGTTCGTAAAATCTATTAATCTTCTTCGATGTTTGAATGTCCAGTATAAGGCAATAATTCTCAGCGAGATGTCCCCGGCTATCGGACGGACACCTACGGAACACGGAGATTCTTTAAATATTTGAAAACTAGTCCGCGAATCCTTGTTCGATAGGTTCCCTCGTAAATTTTTCCCTGCCGTAAACTAAAATAATCAAAGCAGAGAAAATAGGTGTTTGGTATTCTTCAAACAAGTTCCTTCGATTTCCTAGAAAAAGATTTTTCTTTTGTATCTAACGTTTTTAAAAATACTTTCAGTTTTGTTTGTATTATTTCTGGAATCTCTTTCGATTCGGGTAATTGTTTTTGAAAGTAAGCTGGCAACTTCCTCTTGAGAGTACGCTGGGTTACTTAAAAATTCCTGGCACTTTCCTGTTCGATCCTCGAGAAAATATCCCCTCAACTTCGTTTCCACTCTTTGAAAAGTATTTCCGTGAAGCCTTGTTCCTTTATCCTCAACGGGTTTTCAGGAAATGGTCCTTTATCCTTAACGATGTACTTCGGATAGAGAAATGTTGCGATTCCGCAGATCCGTCAAGCTCATCGGTAATGTTTTCTTTCAATCTCTTCGTGGCAATCGCAGAACACTGCCTTTTTATGCAGCCTGAATGGATTCAACAAGTAATTCTCAACATGTTACTTATATATTTCCTTTACCTTTTCTCTTTTTCGTACAATATAAGGTACAATTGCAACTATATTTTAAACATTATTTAAAAATTTTTGAATATTATTTTAGCGCATCGGTGCCAGTTTTAATTCGGTATATTAATTTTAATTCTAAAACTAATGATGAATTTAATTTCATTTAGGTAATTAATATTTATTCGATACTTAGCGATATTCGAACTAAATTAAAGTCACACTAGAGAATGCAACAAACGAACAGTGGATAAACAACCGGTGTCGTTTCCCAGGTGCACCCGAGCGCTGCGACGTCGGTCGAGCTAGTGTCGTCGCGCCGTTATCGCTCTTTTAGCCGCCCCGAAATTTTAACGCAGACGCAGATCATTTGTCTCCCCCTTCTCTTCATCCCTTCTCTCATTTCGGTCTCTTTTTCACCAACTTTCATTTATCATTTTACTCATCTAAGTACTTGATTAATCATTCATTCATCTTCTCTCTGTATCTTTCTTCTTTGCGTTCATTCCATTACTTAGACAGGGTGTTTGAAGAAAAATATACATCATAAATATTACAAATCCTCTGTGAAAAAAAAAAGAAAAAATGGAGAGTTCTTTAGCTTTTTATAATTCAATTTTTGGCACTGCCTGTTTAAGTCTTCAGCGAAAGAGCGAATGACTAATAAATGAAGAGATACGCACATGCATCTATAGCAAGCACTATGGAAAAGTAATAGATGGTTTACGTTAGTCTGTTTGTTACAAAAACAGCTAAAAGGAAATGATTGCTACTGTTTAGAAGTGCTTATTCTGTGCGCTTACGCATCACTATATGCGATCCTCTCTGTGGGGGGTGAACTTTTGTAACCATACATCAGTTATTCACTCACAAGGGCAGTTCTCGAAGTAGTAAACTAAGTACTTGATAGTTCATTTAAAAACGCTTTCCACTGTTCCTCATTTTTCGTCCATTAATAAAAAAAAAGAAACATTTTAATATAATATAAAATACCGTTTTAATTAAAAGAGCGCGGGTTAGTCGATTTTTGCTACGGTTGCTCTTCTTTTTGTACACGAATTCAAATCACCACGGAGGGATTTCAAATTGTATAATTATGCAAATTTACACTTTATATATATATATTTTTTTTTGTACGATAAAACAATTAATTTTAGAAAGTTTGTTCGTATTTAATGTTGTTAAATATAACTTATTAAATAAAATAGTACAGAAAGAACATTTATATTGATTTACAAGAACAACTTTTTATTGGGCAAAGTACAAATTACAAAGATAAATATACAAAATGGGAGATAATAGGCTTCCCCAGGAAAAATGGTGCCTGCCCCTCTAACATAGGCTTTACCGGGGATTCCCGGGTTCCGCCTTCCCCCATAGGCTTTCTCAGGCTTCGCGGCTTAACAATTAAAAATTATATTATCCTGTTTCTAAATCATTTTTAATATCGTCAAAATTAGGATTCTGAACGTTCTTGCATCTTCTTCATTGACATTTTCCTTCGGGAAACCTACTTTTTTTTATACTGTATAAAATGTTTAACGATCCTTTAAAAATACATTCAGTCATTCTGTTTATATACTTACAAAACAATTTAACTTGCTTACTATTCCAATCTTTTGAATATACAAAATACGAAAATATCGAAGTGATTCATTTAAAATGTATACAATTTTTGACCAAACAATGTGCACTCGGAAACATTTATCAAATGAAAATAAAATAAAACAAAACTTTATGATAACATAATAAACCGAAAATTATTAATTTAAATAAATAAATACCTTTAATTAAATTATTAATAATAAATTCGAAACATAAAATTATTTTTTCTTTTACTTTCCACAATGAAACCTAACATGTATGCTCAAACAAAATGAAACAAAAAAATATCAACTTTTTATATTATAACAATTTTATAAATGTTTCCTCACATTTACGAATTTTTACTTTTAAAGCACTTAATACAGAGCACAGCTGTTAAATTTATGCTTTTACTGAACAAACTGCTTTTTTAGCAGCTTCGTCTAAATCATTTGCAGTAAGAATTGACAAATTACTTTCTGCAAGAATTTTCTTTGCTTCTGTCACATTAGTACCTAATTTTAAAAGAAAAGGATGATTATTATTAAACTATACAGTTATTTTAATATAAGACATAAAACCAAGCAGTTAGAAAATAATTACCTTCCAGTCTAACAACAAGCGGAATTTCAAGTCGTAAATTATGATATGCTGTAATAATACCTTTGGCTATAGTGGCACAATTTACAATTCCTCCAAACACATTTACAAGAATTACTTTTACTTTCGGATCTAAAGATATCAAATAAGATCTGGAGTTTTATCAAATTTTAATAACAGATTTAATAGTGTTATTATTTGTTTCAATGTTTATTACCATCACTTAGAATTTTAAATGCTTGATAAACTTGATCTTCTTTAACACCTCCACCTACATCTAAGAAGTTTGCTGGAGAGCCACCATTTAGTTTAATTATATCCATAGTAGCCATTGCTAAACCAGCACCATTAACTAAATATGAAACACAGAATCAAAAACTTACTAATTCGTTGTAATGCTCATTTATAAATATTTATCTATCAAAACAATAAGAGAAGTTTTTTACTCATAATATTGAACATAACATTATTAATAAAGCATACCCAAGCATCCTATGTTACCATCCATGCCAATATAATTTAAATTAAATCGTGATGCAGCTGCTTCTCTAGGATCTTTAGTATCATGATCCTCTAAAGCAAACAAATCCTGCTGTCTGAATTGAGCATTATCATCAAATGATATTTTTGCATCTACTGCTATAACTTGATTATCTGTAGTTACAGCCAATGGATTAATTTCAACTTGCAAAGCATCAATATCTACAAACAGTTTCCACAAATTTTTTAATTCAAATATTGCTTTCTCTTGTACAGTTGGATCCAGAAAACCAAGAAATATGCTAACATCTTTAGCAATATCATCATCAATACCATAATATATATCTAGAGGTACTGTTTTTAATAATTCAGGAGTTTTTTCAGCAACTGTTTCAATATCCATACCACCTGCTGGTGAAGCAATTAACACAGGACCATTGTGCTGTCTATCCATAAGAATACAAATGTATGTTTCTTGCTTTATATTTACAGATTCTGCTATCATAATTTTTTGTACTAATATGCCATCTTCTGAAGTCTGTTTAGTGATAAGGCGGTGACCTAACATATTTTTCACAACATCTACAACAGCTTTACGGCTAATAAGAAATATGTTAAATAACATGTATGTCTTTATATTATATTTATACAATGTACTTTCACTTACTCCTTTGTAAGATGCACACCTCCTTTGAAACCATTATCAAACCAACCCTTACCACGACCACCAGCTAATACTTGAGCTTTTATAACATATTCATCTGCATCTATGGGACAAAATATAATATAATTATGTTATACTTTTATACATAACAAATCATCAAATAGTAAACATTAAAGAAAATACTAACGCAGTTTTTCTAAAGCAGAATCTGTTTTATTTAAATCATCCACAATTGCGAAATTTTGCACAGAAACTCCGCAATCTCTGAGAAGTTCCTTACTTTGATATTCAAGTAAATTCAAATTTCTCGTCTGGTTAACATTAAATGTTGAATTTTTTGTCAACACTTGAATTGAATATAACTTTCGGCTTGCAATTCGCAACATATTTAACCTTACAGTCACAACGTTATAAAAAGACAGTGATTACTTTTCTGTAAAACGTTTAAAATTGTTTGTAATGCTCAATCATCGGCATTAATGCGAGACACTGTTTATATATGTAAAATATGTTTAAAAGAATGTTTTAATAAACATTATTATTTGTGTACATCTGTAATCACCGGTTTCTAAAATTAGCTACAAAAAAGTTATCTTCTATCCAACTGAACGTTTATTTTTATTTTTATTTATTTATCTTTTTCATATATATGCTATATATAAAATAATTTATTTTTTATTTATATTACCATAATAATGTCCCAGATATAAACCTATCTACATACACTTACAAGCATAATTGAAATAGTAAAATGGAAGTTATTATATTTATATAAACAGAACTTTTTCAAAAATTTAAATTTGAATCTACATACAGAAGGTAAAAGGTACAATACACACACAGAAATAGTACATTCATTCTTGTTGTAAAACATGTATATTATAAGATCTTTTGTTTAGTAATACATTAATATAAAATGATACATATTTTCTTATAATTAAAAGTTATATTACTAAATACAGAGTACAAATTTAAATATAATTCAAATTTAAATTTGTATATATAAAAAAAAGAACTCAATAAAAAATTTCATGCATAACTGAAGATCTTTAGGTATTAAATTATTGGTGTAATATTTATACATTTTTTAATGAGATTTCTTTTTATGAAATATTTTATTATTATTTATACAAACAGAGCAACATTAAAGTTGTTTAGAATTTGTTAAAAAAGATTAAGGTGATAAATATTATTTACAGTCTATCATCTGGATATTCATGGACGGATGGATAGAAACTTTGTCAATTAAAGTAAAAAAATCCCTTGTTTATAAATTCTTAAAACTAAGTATAAAAACCGTTGCAAAAATAATTAAAAGTTTATACTATATTTAATTGTTTATACTCTAAGCTGCATAATAGCACTCACGATTTTTATTCAAAAAATGCTGATGAATGTTATGTTTTTCGTTTTCATTATCAGAAGACTGCCAGCAAGTGTTATTAATATTGATCTTGGGCCCTGTAATAACACTTTTATATCTGTATTTCTGTGGCTCACACTACCACTTGAACTGCTTAATGTTAATCTAACTAATGTTTTCAAGCTAACTAATGCTTTAAAGTTAGCTTAATTAAAGTAATACTTTGAAGTACAAAATTACTCATACTGTATAACAATACTTTATCATTTTATAATAACCAGCTACTTTTTTGAAACATGACATGATATTAAACAAATGAATTTTATGATAATAACATGTACAAATCATAAACTTTGCTCAAATCATGAATTTTAATTTTGTTTCCTCTCATTATAATGAGAGAACACGAGTTAGTATCACTTAATAATATTCAGATTTTCGATAACGCATCAATATCAGATGCCATTAACTCAATAATATCAGAAAATTATTAAGATATTTTTATCTACATAAAAATACTCAATATATTGCATTTTTTAATTGCGTTTAAAAAAAATGGTTAGTAGATATTCAATATATCCATTTCGTATAAAAATATGCTCATATTACACACAGTTGTAAATTCGTAATAGTAATAACAATGATATTCCTAGAGCAGCATCTAAAATCTTATTACTCGCACTACTTCTAAAACTAGATACATCACCCATTTGAAACGTATGAGTTGGACTTGACATACGTCCGTCTCCACCGTTGCTAAATGCAAGTACTCGTAAATGATACGCCTTACCAGGACTAAGATTAGTAATATCTGCTTCTAATTTTGAACCACCTGGTATAATAGTATCATTTGCAGTGCTCATATCTTGATCTAATTCCCACACACGTATCTTGTAACCTATTAATGGTTCTTCATCCAAACTTGGTTGCACATAACGCCACACAACTCTAACTGTTGATGGATTTACACCATGCACATTAACAGAAGATGGTGGTTTCTGTGGTGCTTTACGATAAGTTCTTTCTAAATATCGTTCACTTTCTGGACCTTCTCCAGCGGAATTGTACGCCATTACTTTAACATAATAATAAGTATCAGGTTGCAAACCAACTACAAGGGCCAAAGGTTGTGTGCTTCTAGATAGATAGTATACCGCATCTTCTTCTCTATTACTTTCTTTCCAATATTTTATTCTGTGACCAATTAACTTTCCTCGTATCTTTTCACGAGTTTGTTCAATTGGTGCCCAACTAACTTTCAAACTAGTACTGTTATAACTATGTGCAACCACTTGCTGTGGAGCTACTTGCGGCATATCTTCTGCACTGAATATTGTAACTTCATTAGAAATTGGCCCAAAACCTAACGAATTTGCTGCTTGAACTTTTACTTCATATTCTGTATAATAGAATTGCGATTGTATCGATACAACACTTCTTCCAATATTACCATGTCCTTTTAAGGACAAGGACTGAAACTCCGTCTCATGATACTTTCGACGCCAAAATACTTTATAATAAATTCCTGCACCATTTTGATCAGAAGACGGTAAAGGATTCCATGTTATCGTAAGATCTCCAATTTTTCCACCTCCACCACCTATGTTAGATGGGATTTTATATGGTTTATCCGGTGGTGTACTGTACTGTGGAGAAGGTGATGATGGGACACTATATCCCAATTCATTAAAAGCCGACACGCAAAATTCATAAGTGGTATAAGGACTTAAAACATTTTCTAAATAAGCCTCTTTTCTACCATTGTATCTATCTACTTCAATGGCAGTGATATCTGAAACAATATTTACATTATACACATTTGCATCATGATATGTAAAAAATTAAAATAGAAAATTACATTATACACACTTTCTATCAAATTGAACCATGTGTGATTCCAGTTAGTTCTTGCAGTTACAGTATACTTAGTAATGGATCTACCATTCAAAGCACCATCAGTCCAACGTAATGTTGTAGATGTTTTTACAATATTTACAACTTGAACACCACCCGGTGGTCCAGGTGGACCTTCTACCGTCACCATCGTTTTGCTAGAAATTTCTCCTACAGCACTTTTAATTATGCATTCATATTCTCCTCCTTCTGCAAATGTGGCGTTTATTATCCTAAGTTCCTCGCCATCGATACGCAATCTTGGATTATTCGCTAAATCTTCATCCCTGATTCGTAAACCATTATGTTTCCAAATATAAGCTACATCTAACATTTCATCCACTTCTCCCATACAACGTAAAGTTCGATTTTGCATTACGGCTGTAGTTATACGTTGGGGTAATTTTTCAAGAAAATGCGGACCACCTTGATTTCAAATTGCCATTTATATATAGATATTATTACATATAAGATCAACACGTTAAATATTGTAAAATATATTAACTTACGTAATACTATTAATCGTCCTCGAGTTTCATCACTTCCATACTGATTCGTTGCACTGCACACATAAGTGCCTTCATCGTCGCTTGAAACAGGACTAATTATAAGGCTGCCAGTTTCTAAAATTTTACGTCTACCACCAGAACCAATAATATTTCCGTCCTTTTTCCAAACGAATTTTGGCCTGGGTGCAGCTTCAGGATTACAAAAGATAGTAACATTACCTTTTTCAGCTGCATAAGTTTCAGGTTCCATAGGTCGTTTTTTAAACGACGGTTTTAATGCTGCGATTTGAAAAATGTAATGATATTATTAAATTTACATAAGACGTTTAAATAACAACTTACATAGAACTCTTAATTGTGCGGATGAATACTTTGTCTTTAACTGATTTTTTGCACGGCATTGATACATCGCTTGATCTCGTTCCGGATCCAAATTTTTGATGGTTAAAACATTGTCTTGTATAAAATATCGATCTCTATCTTCAAAAGGAAGTGTATCTATATTTAAGAGTTCACCATTTCTAAACCAATTATAAGTAACATCTGGTATTCCAAATGCTTCACAAGTCCAAGTTAATTCTCCTCTGTTATCCATATGTTTATCTACTAGTGGAATAGTAAAATTTGGAGCTGCTTGAATGGTTAATGTTACAAAGTTTTCAATTGACAATCTATCATTATGAACTCTACACATGTACTCTCCTTGATCATCAACATGTACTTTCGGTATAATTAATACTCGATTATAACTAGTTGTATATGCTCCACGCGGTAATGATCCACCTCTTCTTGTCCAATTATATGAGGGAACAGGACTATATTAAAGTAAAAAAAAAGTTACATTTAGCTTATGTAACGAACAATCAATTAATTAAAAATACAAACTTACTATCCAAATGCAACACATTCTAGTCTAACTTCTTCCCCTGCAATTGGTGCTTCAGGAAATGCTTTTGGAAAATTATTAGGAAACTTTAATTGCTGGAAAGAAGCTGAAAAGTAAAACGTCTTATTAATATGATAACTATTTTGTAATAAATCTTTGATATTAAATTATTTTTAAAAAAATTGAATTACAATGCGGATCAACTCTCAAAGGGAAGAATGGTCCATTACGACCAGTATCCGAGGCAACACTTTGAACGTTACAAGAATAATTTCCGCGATCAATCATTTCTAATGCAGAGAAATAAAGAGCCCCATCATGGGAAACAAAAACACGTTTATCTTCTTCAACAAAATTGGGGAAATAGTCACGTGCCCAATAATATTTTACTCCAGGAAAATGTTGAGGTGGATCACAATACACAGCCTTTCCCCATTTCTCGTCTCCACGCTCCTCCGAGCGTTTTAAATTAAATTCCAAAATATATCCAAATGATAGTTCTACACTTTCAGATATAATTGTACCGAATTTATTGGTTGCTTTACAATGATACGAGCCTCTATCTTCGGTCTATGTATAATTAATATTTTAAATAGCATTAATATTTTTGTATTATACTTATTTTTAGCACACACATTTAACCAAATTTTAAACATATTTACCTGCTCAGGTTCATAAATAATTAAAGTACCACCACTAACAGTATATCTTGTATTAATTAGTGGATCTATTTTTGTTGCAATTAATCTATCATTTTCATAATCTTCTTTAAACCACTCATATGTAGGTGCAGGATAACCACCTGCCAAGCAACTCAATGAAACATCATTGCTTATTTTTCTTTTTGATACATCAAATACTTTATCTACAGGTTGTTTAATAAAATATGGGCCTCTAGGTATTTCATTAGGATTGTCAATTTCAACACCATAATGGTAAGTACGATCATCATCTACCAAATTATGCAAATTTGAAATTGGGGCTTCACAAATATATAATAATTTCTCTCTACCAGATACACCTTCTAATCCCCAACGCTGTAGATTATTATGATAAGAATATACTAGATAATCTCTACTATATGAATTGTCACTTGGTTCTGGTAAAATTGCATTTTCCATGTTTATTAACTGAGTATTATCAGCTTCATTCATCCAGTTACCATTTTGATATTTTATACCAGTATACCATTTACGGTGCTGTGGATCTTGCCATAATAATTGATATAATATAAATCCATGTTCTTCTAATGAATTAATTGTAACAAGATCACTCTGATAAGCTTGACAATTTTTTCTTGCATCTTCTCTTTCTTTAATAGGACTTTTTATAAAACGATAACAGGATTCTTGAAATTTTATCCAATGTTGTGGACATTGATGAATTACTTCTCCATAGAAAGTATTTTGAGTAAATACACCGGTTATTGCAACCAGGATATATATCAAACTTGTTTGTATATGACACATTGTTGTTGTATCTCAATGTAACTGATGAACTGTTAATTGTCCTGCAATTGTATAATATCATTAATTATATAGTATTAGTTATATGATACAAAATTGTTATCAATTATATAAAACTCTATAAAAATTCTATATGAAAGAAATGTTTATATACAATAATCATGAAAGAAAGGAGTTAGGGAGTGGCAGTACAACCTTCTAAAGCAATTTTATGTGATACATTCATGTACTCAATTTGTTCATGATTTTAACATTATAATTAAATGCGTTTTACCTTCATTAAATTTCCTTTGTATGTAAAATGTAACAAATTATAATTGAATAACTTTATAAGTTAGCATCCTTACTGCGTAACGTTCAGTAACGTCGCACCAGTACATGTGAACTTACGTCTAACATCAAAATTATCTGATTTCAAGATTATACAGATGATCAATTTACTTTGACTTCAATTTAAAATCTAACAAGTGAGTTGGGAAAATAATTTTAAATGTATTATAGAGTTTATATAAAGATATATATATGTTATAATTCGTATATGTATATTTAATATATATATAAATTAACTGTTTTAAACTGATTATGGATAAACCTTTAATTGCAGTGGTACCCCTTGATAACTAGTCAGCCTTGGACAAGCTGGGAATACCCAATTTTCATTTGTTTATATTTCAAGTATGAAGTCGCAAAATTACAAAATAGACAGGATTTTTTATTATATAGATACTTTTTTTCAAAAAATATATTCTTGTATCTTTTATATTCATTTAATAATTAATAATAATGAGTAAAACTGAAGAACTCAGTTTTTGGGAATGTTAAAATATGCATATTCAATTGGTAAAAGCATATTGAAAATATTTGTATTACTTTACTCATAATTTTATATTATTCATTTAATTGTAAAAAACTTTTGTATGTATATATTTAAGTCTAAGATGTTATCACATGCTTATTGTATCAGTTGTATAAAATTGTTACATGTAGTAAACCTTATTGTTGTTTATAAACATTGATTGTAAATTTGCTAACAATGCAACATGGAATGTTATTTTTGTAAAACTATATCTTTTACTTTTTAAATTGTATAATTTATTACAAATGTTTAAATTTCAATTGTATAAACATTTTTTTAGAGGATAATTATTAATTTAAACATAGTGGCAGTAAATAAAATAAAATTATCAAAATGGTATCACTCTTGTATATATATACATATATATACATACAACTTCACTGAGGTTATATTATTCCTGCTAAGTTGTTAAGGTTATATTGTATGTATTGAAAATTTAACTGAACATTAAAATTGGAGGGCAATAACGTGATTTTTCGAGTTACATATGTTCTTATAAGACATAATGTTTGATTATGTAAATACATGTTATAGTAATTTATTTAGAACTTTAATTTTTTATTAATACGTAATTAATGCGTAATTTTGGATACCAAAATAAATAACAATAAACGCCATGGCTTCTACAAAAAATGAGGTAATTCATATTTATATAAGTATTATGTATTTTATGATAAAAGTTGTATTTTTATTTAGTATTATAATTTTATTGTTAATATGTTCCTTTTCATAATTTTTTAAATATAAATAATTTATATATAATCAAAGAAAATATTATTTTGCAGGAGAAATCCATTTTAGAAGCAGATACTGTCTTCTTGTTAATGAAGAAAGGTTTTCCTATATCTCGAAATGTAAGAGCCCAATGGATGATAGAACATTTAGATACTGTGATAACCATACAGACTCCAAGTTTTAAAAACAAAGAAGCACCAGAATTAGAAGTTGTATCTGTTTTACCAAAGACAAAAGTGGAATCATGGTCTTCTGAAACAAGCCATCAGTATCTGTATAGAGTAACTTCTACAACTTCAATAACATTTTTGGCTCACAAATACAGGATGGTTTTTAATTTAGATTTAAGTCCATCACTTGCAACCATAGTAAGTATATATGAGAATATGATCCATAACACAGACATTGTGGCCACATTACATTGCAATGTTTTATTGCAGGATATAGAACATGGTGAAATTGTAATAGATGAAGTATATATAGCAACAAAACGATTTTTGGAAAATATTATTAAGCCTGTAAATATTGATTTATTTTTTTTCTATAAATAATTAATATGAAGTCCTTGAATTTGTTTCAATAATTAAGAAATTTATTATTCTTACAGTTCACCATTCCAGGAAGTAAAAGAATAATACAACCAGAAATTTATGTAACTATAATTGCTCACACACCATTTTTTACAAATCCTGCACAGCAAGTTCTAGTACAAGGTTGGCTAGTAACTGTAGATAATGTCAGTCAGCTTACAAGCTTTATAGAGAAACAACTTAATATATTAGAAGAAAAAATAGCATGTATTACTGCTATAGCTAGTCAACAATTGGAAAACTTAAGAGCTGAAAGTGAACGTTTGGTGGGAGGACTTTTTGAAGAAAGCAATACTTGTTTAAATAAAAGTAGTACATCTGGTACTAATGTTTCAATAATTTCTCCAGAATCGAACTTCGTTAATATGTTGAGATATGGAATGTTAGCACTTACACTTCTACCAGAACACAGTTGTGCACGTAAGTTTTACAAGTGCACATTGAAACATATATTACATCAGTATACATAAAACATATTAACAAGTAATAAACCTTCTAGATATGATCGTTGTATCAGATGGTATAGTTGGAACTACAGATGTTCATGTCTTAGATTCTGTTATACAACAGCTACGCGCAACAACGATTGCATGCAGTTTTCTACACGTTGGCAGTGCATATCATCCACATTGTGCAGATGGTTTAGTTCCATATCAGGATTTGTTACATTTTATTGCTAGGGCTACATTGGGTACTTATATGACTTTTATTTCACATTCTGTAAGTAATTTTTTAAATAATAATTAAAAATTACTTTAACGTGCCCGCTGTTGAGCCCGAGAAATGAATTTACAATAGATTGTGCAGTAATGTATGGTTATAGGCACATGCAAACGAAACAGAAATGAATATTTATCATGCAAATTTTTTATGCTGGCAACTATATCGTGAAGTGAACTGTAGTAGTTTACCAGATTATTCAAACTGGAATTCTAAAAACTCTTTGTTTTATGAGCAAAAATCCGATCAACTATTACAAAAGAAGCAAATAGAAGATAAAGTTACTTGTACATTAAGTAGCTTGCTATGCTGTCGTCTTCGTGAAGGATATTTAATAAAACGTGCTAATGTGAGAGATGAAATGCTTGAAATTTGTTTTTTATTGTTATGGAAATCTAGTGTTTCGCTCGAATATGTAATAGTATGTCCTTGGTCTACAAAGTCATTATCTGCATCTAATACAATACAATATAAAATTACTATAGAAGGTAAATAAAATTGAAACTTGTTTTACTATAATTGCAGACAATATTAATAAATTGAAAATAAATTTCATATAAATTTATTTTATGATAAATGTATATGAAAGGAAAAATTACTTTGTTATAGCCCCGTATGAATTTCTACACGACATCACATGTTTATCGAAAAAACCACTAAAATCACAATATCGTCAAGGTGTTGTTAATTGTTTCTGGACAGCATTGACTTCTTTAACAGAGAGTGATACTATGCTTGCACATTTTAGCTGGTTTCCAGAATGTGGTTGGACTTGGTATAGTGTACCAGATACCATTAGAAGCGGCATGCCAGTCTTTTATTTGTCAGCTTATCCTTCACCTAATACAGTACAACTTAGGTATTTATGCAAACAAAGCTAAAGTTAATTTATCAAGTTATCAAGTGTTTGAAAATGCTAAAGAATGTCAGTATAGGCATATATACTTGTTTTCAGTGATGCAGCATGCCCACAATTTGGACAAATATGGCAACCAGTAGTATCTTTAAATCCTTTACAATGGGCTCGTTGGATGCATACACAAAGAGTAACATTAATTTTATCACACGATAGGCCAGTGCCAAAACATTTACACCAGGCAAATCAAAGCGGTCGTTTTCAGTGTGTTCAAAGTCGTCAGGCAGCTGCCGTTCTCTACGCCATGTTAAAAAATTGGGCAACGTTCGTCCTCGTTGAAAACCACACATATGTACAATTTATTTACAGAGAAGCAGATAAACCTCCTGTTTCATTTTCATTAATTCGTATTAATTGCAAAGCTCTTTGTGTTGTCCTTAACATTGCATTCGCAGCTGGAACAGAAGGGGTCGTTCGACATAATGTCGTGGTTGATCTTTTAGATAGATTATCAAAGCTTACTTTACCAAATAGACCTACGGAACAAAAGGAAACATCTTCTTGCACAATTATACATAAATCTTTGGAAAGAATTTTGATTAGATATGAGCGAATGCCAACTGATTTAAATTCTATTGTATTTCCGGATGGAACCCAAACAAATTCAACGCGAAATACACAGATATTTGGAGGAATTTTGACAACTAGTTTGTCTAGATATCTGTATCATAATCGATGGCTATGGCACATGAAACGACCATTTGTGCAAACAATTCCGGGGATTACATTACCAAGATTGAATATAACTGCCATTGCAAGAATTCTGTCTACAATTACAAAGTAAATATTTTATATTTGTATTTACTTTTTCATGACTACGATCTTTAAGTTTACAAAGAATTGAGTATGTTATCAATTAATTATTGTTTATAGATAACATACCCATGTGACATATATTAATACATATAATATATTATTAATTTTGAATGTTTAGAATATAAGAAAATATATTGTATGTTTGTATTAGGATGCGTTTAGTTGAGGGTTTTAATTTTACTTATTCAGCGGCGGGCATCATGAATATGGTTCTTGAAGTACAAATGCAAGGAGTTGGTAAAGGTGATGCATTATATCCATGCATTATTCAATATATTTTATTTCCTCCACATGTTACATCGAATACAACAGTAGAACGCGACAGTGCATCCGAAGAAGATACAGATGAGGGTAAAAATTTGCTTACTTTTATAGCTGATTTTTATATATAATTACAAGGACCACTAATGTAATTCACGATATTTAACAAATTTTTCAAGATACAAGAAAACAAAAATTGGCAGTACATTTCATTATGTTTTAGGTACCGCCGATGGCGAAGTGAGTATGGATGACTTTGAGGGTTTTGGTGACTTCCAAATTGTTTCTGAAATTTGGATTGAACCACAGTGCGGTTTCTCACAACTACCAGCACAGTCTACCGCAGCTTATATGCATCAGTTGCAATACCATGAGATCCCAGATGCAGTAAGTACATATATTTCTATAAATATCATCCTTTCTATATTTATCTGTACTCGTAGACTAAAAATATATAATTATTCGTGATTAGCAGGAAGTAAGTACGTTAATATGTATTTTAAATGTTAAATAATATTCATTGTTCATTTATTATTGTCTGATGTTTTAAATCTAAAAAATT